TGAGTAAAAGAAAAATTTATTCACTTCCCCTGGCCCCGGTGGCTTCGATAATCATTCATAAATGCGCCCTGCTTGAACCGATACCCCTCTCTCAGCTTTGAAACATATCCCTTTTTGAGTTTTTGACCTTTGCGACAACATGGCCTACCACGGCTCTGGCTCGCACTCACCGAGCTATGATGATGCTCATCATCTACAGGATGTGCCAGCTTCGCAGGTATGTGTGCGTGGAGAGGCGGTGAACTAGTCGGTAGAGCTGACCTCGGTGTTTTTTTTTCTCTCTTGCGCAGTATCGCGAGGATGAGGATGCAGCCCGTGGATTATTGTCCCAACAGCAGGGTCCTTTTGCGACTCCATTTGACGACCCCCACTCGCACAGTGTTTCTCCCCAACGTCCGACTTCCGGGTACAGCTTGACGGAGACCTATGCAGCGGACACCGCCCCTTCCTACCATGACCCATACAATACCACCACCGCCTACTCTGGCCAGGAGGAAACTACCGCGGCAGCCTTTGGAGTCCCCGGTCGAGTTGCGTCCCCCTATGCCCGCAGCGAGACCTCATCCACCGAGGCTTGGCGCCAGCGACAGGCCCCCGGGGGCGCCCCTGGCGGTGCTGGCGGCTTGCGCAGATACGCCACTAGGAAAGTCAAGCTAGTGCAGGGTTCCGTCCTGAGTGTCGACTACCCCGTGCCCAGTGCTATTCAGAATGCGATTCAAGCCAAATACCGCAATGACGTGGAAGGCGGAAGCGAGGAGTTCACCCACATGCGATGTACGTGTGGAACAGACTAGGAACATGTGGCTCTAAGCGAAAAACTAATGAGTCTTCACTCTTCATAGACACCGCAGCCACTTGCGACCCGAACGAATTTACCCTCCACAATGGTTACAACCTTCGCCCCGCAATGTACAACCGTCATACGGAGCTGCTCATCGCGATTACCTACTACAATGAGGATAAGAATCTTACGGCCCGTACCTTGCACGGTGTGATGCAGAACATTCGCGACATTGTCAACCTGAAGAAATCCGAGTTCTGGAACAAGGGTGGACCTGCATGGCAGAAGATTGTCGTGGCGCTGGTGTTTGACGGTATTGACCCTTGCGACAAGGATACCCTTGACGTTCTTGCAACCGTCGGTATCTACCAGGATGGTGTCATGAAGCGTGATGTTGACGGAAAGGAGACTTTGGCGCATATTGTAAGTGGGATGGCCCGGATTGGGCTCTAAATGAAATAGCGCTGACAGGACATCTAGTTCGAGTATACGACTCAGCTTTCAGTCACGCCAAGTCAGCAGCTTATTCGGCCCACGGACGATGGCCCGAGCACTCTACCACCGGTGCAAATGATGTTCTGTTTGAAGCAAAAGAACAGTAAGAAGATCAATTCGCATCGTTGGCTCTTTAACGCTTTCGGCCGCATTTTGAACCCCGAGATCTGTATCCTTCTGGATGCCGGTACGAAACCTGGACCTAAGTCTTTGCTATACCTCTGGGAGGCATTCTATAACGATAAGGATCTCGGTGGTGCCTGTGGTGAAATCCACGCCATGTTGGGTAAGGGATGGCGGAACTTGATCAACCCTCTCGTGGCTGCCCAGAACTTCGAGTACAAGATTAGTAATATCTTGGATAAACCCTTGGAGAGTTCGTTCGGTTACGTTAGTGTCTTGCCCGGTGCATTCTCGGCCTATCGATTCCGTGCAATCATGGGTCGCCCTCTTGAACAATATTTCCACGGTGATCACACGCTATCTAAGCAGCTTGGAAAGAAGGGTATTGAGGGTATGAACATTTTCAAGAAGAACATGTTCTTGGCCGAGGATCGAATTCTGTGTTTCGAGTTGGTTGCCAAGGCAGGCTCTAAGTGGCACTTGTCTTATGTCAAAGCCTCCAAGGGTGAGACTGACGTGCCCGAAGGTGCCGCCGAGTTTATCTCCCAGCGTCGCCGTTGGCTCAACGGTTCTTTTGCAGCAGGAATTTACTCCCTAATGCACTTTGGCCGCATGTACAAGAGTGGTCACAACATTATTCGCATGTTCTTCCTCCACATTCAAATGTTGTATAACATTTTCAACACTTTGCTCACCTGGTTCTCTCTGGCTTCATACTGGCTGACTACCACTGTCATCATTGACCTTGTCGGTACTCCGAGCTCCAGCAACGGAAACACCGCTTTCCCCTTCGGCAAGACGGCCACGCCCATTATCAACACAATTGTGAAGTACGGATACCTAGCTTTCCTTTTGCTGCAGTTCATTCTCGCTCTCGGTAACAGACCCAAGGGCTCCAAGTTCTCATACCTTGCCTCGTTTGTGGTCTTTGGTATCATTCAGGTTTACATTGTGGTCGATTCGATCTACCTAGTCGTTCGCGCGTTCACCGGTGGCGCGCCTATGGACTTTGTTACCGACGAAGGTGTGAAAGGGTTCATTGACTCTTTCTTCGGGTCGACGGGCGCTGGTATCATTATCATTGCCTTGGCTGCCACATTCGGTCTTTACTTTGTTGCCTCTTTCATGTACGCCGACCCATGGCACATGTTCACCTCCTTCCCTGCGTATATGGTTATCCAGTCGTCCTATATCAACATTCTGAACGTCTATGCCTTCAGCAACTGGCATGACGTCTCCTGGGGTACGAAGGGTTCCGACAAGGCCGATGCGTTGCCGTCAGCCACAACTACAAAAGACGAGGGTAGCAAGGAAACAGTGATAGAAGAAATCGACAAGCCCCAAGCGGATATCGACAGCCAGTTCGAGGCAACCGTGAAGCGTGCGCTCACTCCATTCGTTGCCCCCGTGGAACACGATGAAAAGACCCTCGAGGACTCCTACAAGAGTTTCCGTACCCGGCTCGTCACCTTTTGGATCTTCAGTAATGCAATTTTGGCAGTTTGCATCACCAGCGAGGCCGTTGATAAGTTTGGCTTTAGCGTAAGTTTTCACCCTCTTTTGACCTTGTTATTAGACCATTGACTAATGTGATCATAGAATACCGCAACCACCCGTACAGCCCATTTCTTCCAGGCCCTCTTATGGTCTAACGCTGCTGTGGCATTGTTCCGTTTCATTGGATGCTGTTGGTTCCTGGGTCGCACTGGTATCAAGTGCTGCTTTGCACGCCGGTAGTTCGATTCCAGCAAGCACGAAATGTGTGACCTTTTTCATGACCCCCCAGACACCATTTCCTCTTCTCTTCTTTTTCTTCCCCATACCGTGATCTGTATTCTACCTAAAGATGCCCACTTCTGTTCTCTTTTTGATTTTGCAATGCTAGCCAGTATGTATTCGCGCGGTTCTACCCTTGACGGTTACTGTGATGTTTTTCTTGTCGGACCAGCCATGCACCGGGATCGCATTCGGAGCGCTATGATGAATGTACTTCATATTCAATTTATATTTTTTTTCCCCTTCGAGATTTTAATAATATGTAAAAATATAGAGACTGTGCATAGTACGGAATTCCCGAGGTCAAATACGTCAACTGGTGGAAGGCGGAGAGGCGATAAAGGGCGATTGCTGATCTGAGACCCCCGCAAGCCCAGGGCTATCCTTTCACTCTTACCGTTGTCACTAGTTCGTCTCGCCTTTTACAGCTTTGCATCTCCTTTCTGTCTCTCTCCTCTTCTCTGATATCTACAGAGTGGTAACCTCGCCTTAAACCTCCTACTTCGCTCTCCTGAAAACCCGTCTGTTCCACCAGGTGGGGTGGTGACTTCCGGGCAAAATGTTGAAAATTTGGTCGATGGTAGGGCTCTATTTGGCTCTTAGAGGAATGCAGAACTGTGACTAATAGTCTGCACAGAAACAAAAGCAGCAGGAGGCTGAGAATGCCGAGGGTACTGCAGGCAAGAAGAAGAAGAAGGTTACCGCGGCGCAATTACGCGTGCAGCGAGGTGAGTGACTCTCCCGCGGTGGACATGGGATCATTGTGATATGGATCTCTAACCTCTTATCTCTTTAGATCTTCAAGAACTCACCCTCGGCAGCACGATGAAAATGTCTTTCCCGAACCCTGACGATATCCTTAACTTCACCTTGACCATCGAACCAGATGAGGGCATGTACAAGGGTGGTGTCTTCAACTTTAGCTTCGCCGTCAACCAGAACTTCCCCCATGATCCCCCCAAGGTCAAATGCACGCAGAAGATCTACCACCCCAATATCGACTTGGAGGGCAACGTCTGCTTGAACATTCTACGAGAGGACTGGAAGCCCGTGTTGAATCTGAATGCTGTCATTGTGGGCATGCAGGTTCGTTGATTCCTTTCCTTTGACTGGTCATTACTTCCGCTGACTGATAATTCCACCACAGTTCCTTTTCCTCGAGCCAAACGCCTCCGATCCTCTCAACAAGGAAGCCGCGGAAGATCTTCGCGTCACTCGTGACACCTTCAAGAAGAACGTACGCAACTCCATGGCCGGCGGGTCCGTCCGAGGCATATCATTTGAACGAGTTCTACGGTGAATGCTAGCTAGGGCTTCACACTTGCAGTTTTTCCATCGGTTCCCATATCTAGCCTTCGCCCATACCCCATAGCGATGAGCAGATACGGGATGATGATCTATGGTTTTACATGGCGGAGACATGGTCCAGCTCCCATTAGGGGTGCACTAGTGTTTCCACGTACATATATCCGGCGTCATTAGCGTTTGAACACAATAGATCCAATTCGCTCATTTGGCTGGCCAGGCGTAGTGGTCAAGTATATCGATATGCGCGTTCGGGCGATACTACGTAGAACTGCCTGCGAGAAAATGTAAAGTCCAAAATCAAAATGGTTGGTTGTCCACTGGCGTATATGTACAATCGATATCAAATCCAACCACCCACTCGTACACACCCGTCGATCCAACCAAGCCCGATGGGGATGTCAAGACATATGCCTCCATCACTGGGTGATTTTCTAGATAACGCTTTGACAAAGAAAAGAACTGGCGCCGAACGGGCGAGAAGGAGACAATCGAGAGAAGGTGATCAGGGTTGATCGATTTAACCCCGCTGGGCAGCACGCTCAGCCTCGAGGCGGGCGTAGTAGGTATCGCGCTCACGCACGCGGGGAAGGTGGTATCCTGTGAAAGAAACACATGGTTAGATTTCAAGCCATCAATCGGGTGGGGGTTGGCGCAGCCGGGGATAATCTACTTACCGTACCACCAGAGGTAGCCGAAGGTAGTACCGAAGCCTAGTGGATGAGATACCCTGATCAGCAACTATTTTCACTTGTTGATCTCATCCTAGCCATCTTCTTGGTGCTTGTATTTCATGTGGTCGCTCCCGAGAGATCGCGATATTCAATTTGTCGTTTGATCATGCCACTCGATCCGGATCACAACTTACCGAAAGCGGTGCTCAGGTCCAGGACAAGACCACGGCGGAGCATCTGTAGACAAGCATAGCATGTCAGTAAATCATTGCGAACATCTCAATTGACCTGATCAACCCGCTCGGGTTAACCCGGCCTTCAACGGAAGGGGCACGTACGCCGGTGATGGGGGGAATAGCGGCGGGCATTGTGACGAATAAGTTGCGTCAATCGATGCTTGAGCAAAAGCAATATGGGTTGCGGACAGCTTGAAACCTGCCTCGGACGTTGGTGGGGAGAGGAGAGGGGGGGTGAGGAGGAAGGCTGATTTGTGAGGTGAAGTTGAAGCTTCGGAGCGGACTAAGCGAGCCGCCGGATTGGTCGGTCTTGCTATGAGAGGAGAGCGAACTATGGCATGTTCACCATTCCCTTAGTATTATTTTAGGGGCAGCGAAATACGATATCGGATTTACTCTCTTGTAACTTTCTATATACTGAATCGTTTACCCTAATGAAATGAGTATTTCGCCCTCCAAAACTACCTAGCAAGGGTCACAGCAACTAAAGGAAGCCCTCGAAATGGAGGATGTGTGAGATAAACAAAGCTTAATCTAGTGGCATTATTTTCTTGTCTACATATTGAATGTCCTCTTTCTACTTAAGGTCCTCAAAAAAGCCATTCACATTGCTTCCTCATATGAGTCCCTGAAGGTCTATGACAGCTGCTCATCCATCTACTCACCGCCTTTAGCACGTGACCCAACTCGATAACATTGCCTGGTCAGGACGACCACTTCTTGATCAGACCAATATAATGGCCATGGCGACATCGAGCGCCCATATCAAACGACCTTCTCCATCCATCGACCAGAACAATCCAAAGCGTATCAAGCGCTACTATCATCACCACCATCGTTTACAGGAGCCCGTGGTTCTCCCATCCACCTCCGAGCCAGTCGTGCAAGATGATACCCACCTCGACCAATTGATGAATCGTGCAATCGGCCAGACTTTGAAGGACTCAGGGTTTGAGTTGGCCGATCCAGCTGCACTTTCCAGTCTCTGCAGTGCTACTGAGGAGTGTACGTGATTTGACATTGCATCCATTTTGAAGCTTGAATTGACGGGTTGCGCCTGAAATCTCCAGACATGCTACGACTCTCCACATTCGTCCGCCAGTCCATGCTATCTGCGCGACGTGTCCAACCAATACCGCAAGATTTTGACCACGCTCTGAAGCGTTTCCGCCTCAATCCCGATGATCTTCTCCCTCATCTCAAAGCAGCGCCCTCAGACAAACCCACGCCAACATTATTACCATCTCCCCCACCAGAGAATGAGATATCAAAATCTCTCCCCTTTCTCACGGCTCTGAGCAGCGAAGACGACCGTGCAAATCGTCCTTACATCCCAAAACATTTCCCGAGCTTCCCTAGCAAACATACCTATTCTGCCACCGCGGTTTTCATTGGACGAGACAACGACCCGCGCAAGATTAGGGAACGCGCCGCAGAGGATGGACGGCATGGCGAGGAAGCTTTGCGCAAACTAGCGAGCGCCGCTTTCCGCGACAATCAGACGGGCTCGACTAGCCGCGATAAGAAACTTTGGGGTCGGAGAATGGACAGCATGGAAAGCATGTTCGAAAAGACAATCAAGGGACTATCCAAAAAGCATAGCAAGGACTCATTCACCAGCTCAGCTATGGATATTGATTCGGGACACCCGGCAGATGCCGACACCAAATCTCGGCTCAAGCTTTCGTGGAATATGGAGTTGGGCCCCATTGTCAACTGTGAGCGAGATCTCTGGCGCCGGACGAGCTCGAATGCACGGCGAGGAGAGGAGAAGACTCCAAAGCCTCCAGCAAGTGTCGACCCAGCGGATGTCATGATTGACATGTAAATTACAAAGGCATAAGGTCTACCGGCGTTCTTTTCTTTTCTTTTCTTTTCTTTCTTCCACGATTATGGGCTGGCGCTTGTGTTTTAGTTCAGGAGCATGATCTGAGGAGATACCCCATCGCAGTCACAAGCATTATTTAGAATGCAACTTTTATCCTTGAAACCTGCAAGTAATTGTAATTTCATATAGCCAGACTCCGCCCAATGCGCATTCGTAATCCAAAGTAGTCCCCCTCATTGTTTCGTAGTAGCTGTTTGCTTTTGTTTCGCTTCCTCTGCCAGTCTAATTGGCTCCCATGCTGTTGTTTCAACCATTAATCCACCAGCACAGCTACGAGATCAGCTTGCCATTTGACTCGAACTCGATGCTCAAGACTTACCGTCGGAACAACCGCACCACAGGCTCGCACACCACAACCCCTGGTTCGGGAACCCCATTTTGTGGTGGATTGCAAGAGAATTGTGTCATTTCGAGTAATGGACACTCCTTGAGGTTGACTTGTTCGCCTTTGCGGCGTTTCTCTTGGAAGTTGCGGCGGACGGTGTTGACATGATCGGGGAGGGATTCAGCGGAGAATATGGGGACGAGAGGAGCCATTGTAATTTGCGATTGTAATTTTCAATGGTGAATATGAGATAATTGAACTAGACTCGGATTTGGGGAGGTTTTGTTGAAGGGAAAGGATTCGAAGTGAATTTGAAGGGAAAGGTTGGAAGTTCGGAAGCTCCGTCAGCCCGCGCTATTCGGGTTTCCGCTCGCATCACTTCTACACTTCTACCACTTTGCTCGCATCGAGTTACTGGACTTTATACGTGCTTCAAACATAGTGAGGCCAGATCCATGACGCAGACCATTGTTTACCCATGGCAGCCAATCTCGGGGAGAGATCGCTAGCCGATGTACACCAAGAGGGACTAGATGAGGTATTGCAGCTTTCCTATCCATTTGAATGCACGGAATTGACCAGTTTTAGATACTCTCTGGATTGGCCCATTTATATCCTGGTCACTCAAGCTATGACACACATTCATTAGGTGTGCCCGTTCTGGACACTTTGCTTGAAGTCTTTGCGCCGAAAGCACTTCCTGTGTCAGGTGCTGTGATCGATGGGCAACCTCAATCTATAAGTGCGCAGACTATTGACGATGAAAACATTCTGCTGCATAGTGAGCTCTCGGCTAGTCCGGATGAAATCCACGCTGCGCAAGACATTGACCCACCTGCCAATGTGTTGTTCTCAGACCCAGATGGTAGCAAGAAACAGCAGGTTCCTATCGTGGAGATTTCAAGCAGCCTGTCGGCTTCGGGGAAGTCACAACTACTGTACTATCTTACGGCTCTCGCTATCTTGCCACGACAATATGGGGAGATCTCAGTCGGTGGTCAAGAGGCAGCTGTGGTATTCATAGATGCCGACGACCGATTTGATGTCGAAAGACTAAGAACTGTGGCTCGAGGTATCGTACTACAGCAGCGAGGACTATCTGAATCGAATCTTGGGGCTCAAGCTCAACCGGCAAGCACGGCGGATCATCATCTTGAATCAATGCTCGTGTCTTCGCTACAGCATGTCCACGTCTTTCGTCCGCAATCTTCATCCGCTCTTTTGGCCACGATCCACACGCTAGACTCGTACCTTTTCGATCTCTCGCGACATCGTTCCGCATCACGTCCCTTACAAATGATCGCCATTGACAGTGCCACCGCCTTCTTCTTGCAGGACCGGCTGCGTGACGAAGTCGCTCGGACCGAAGAAATTGGGCGTCCTCAGGCAGAAATAGATTCTGAGCGCGAGCAAAAAAAGAGTTTCCATTTGTCTGACCTCTATACCGAGCTGGTGAGGCAGTTGAAGGGTGTACAGAGTCAGTTTCAGTGCGCCATTGTGTATACCGCAACGGTCTCAGGAAGTCGGGCTTCTGGCCCTGGTCACTACGATCAGTCCCAGGCTCGTGTTCCATCGCTGAGACCTATTCTCCCTGCGCCCTGGGGCACTTTTCCAACATTGCGTCTAATTGTGCACCGATCTTCTGTTCGCCCATTTCCACCGAGTATGGCCGCCCATGTAGCTGTGAAAGACGCCCCTTCACGGCAGAGCGTGGTTCAACAAGGGAAGATATCGGCATGGGTCAATCCGTGGGGACGTGATGAATGGCCTCGTCGCATAGTGGAAGCAATCGAGGCGAACAATGGTGGGAGCTTTTCATTTTACGTGCGAGACTCTGGCGTTGAGATGACAGATCCTGATCATTGATTGAATGATTCTATTCGTGTATATTCATCTATGACAATGTTTCCTATTCGATCTCGTAGGTTCATGTAAACAGCTTGGCGATTGCCTCGACGGTTGTGTTGCCGCCGCTGAACACGACGCCAACATCCCATCCATCCTTGCCACCCTCTTGTTCGACTCGTCGTCTGAAGTTCTCATCGAAGAGACACACAGCTAGTCCAACCACTGCACTCGGCTCAACAACAACCTTCATGCGCTCTATAACCAACCGCATGGCTGACTTGATCTGCTCTTCGGTGACTGCGAACACGCCTTCCACCTTCTTCTGATTGGAGATGACCTCCCAGTTGAGTAATCCCACGGGAGTGCGTAGCCCGTCTGCGATAGTGAGGGTGCCGACGGCTTCCACTCGCTTTCCGGCCTGCAACCCGCGTCGACAATCATCTGCACCTTCAAAGCTGGGCTCTGCACCGAACACGCGTGTCTGCTTATCCGAGAACCACGTCGCCACGCCGGAGTTGAGGCCACCTCCACCAATAGGAGTGATAACCGCATTCAGGGTTCGGGAGCCAGCTTGTTCGGCATGCTGAGCCTCCAGCTCCAATCCCGTTGTACCCTGCCCACAAATGACATTGAAGTCATCATATGGTGGCACGAGAATGGCATTTGTCTTGGCCTGAATCTCTGCCACCACAGCTTCACGTTCCACACTTGTCGAGCCACTGAAGATGACCTCCGCCCCATGGGACTGCGTACCCGCAATCTTCGATGGCGTGCTGATGCGGGGCATCACAATATAGGCGGGAATTCCCAGCGTCGAGGCAGCGAGGGCGAGGGCTTGTGCATGGTTTCCTAAAAATAGGAGAGGATTTAGCATGTATAATTTTGACTTGTTGCAGCAGAAGACCAGAAAATACCAGAGCTATGTGTAATCACCCCGCGCTGTTTGACTTCGTCCCCGCGCTCCTCCAACAGTCGCAGCAATGCATGGAATGCACCTCGTGCTTTGAAGGCACCGATTCTCTGAAAGTTCTCGCATTTGAAGAAGAATCGAAATTGTGGGTGAGCTGGAGTTTGTCCTTCGAACGGTGTTCCGACCAAGGCTTCGGTGGATTGCGGTGTTGACGCGATGGTATCGAGCGTTTTGCATGTCAACAGCGGCGTACGGTGCACATGGGGCTGGATGAGACCGTATGCCGCTTGAATTGCGGCCGGGGTGAGCGATTGAGCTGCAATAGCAGGCGAAGTCATTTTGATTTAGTTGAAGAAGGGAAAAGAGACGGAAAGTACAAGTATGACTCTTATTTTTACCCCGGATTCTTCTCCGAGCTTCGGCGCGCTACAGCTGCAGGTACAAGCTACGGAATGGAGATGGAAAAAAGATAAAAATAAAGTAACTGGGGAATGGCCGGTAAAGCCTCAAAATAATATTTTCGACCTGAAACCCAAAAAGAACAGTTCATAGTACATCATCATTTTTTTGAACCCCCACGGGTATCAAGGTATTATTTATTTCTGGTTCTCGGGGCGGAGAGAGCGGACGGCCTTTCCGGCGCGCCAGATCTCGAGATCGCGGATCTCCTGCATCTCCTTCTCGTACTTCTCGCGGTAGTCGGGCTGCGAGTTGTAGTCGAGGGAGCGCTGGGTCTCAGTGCCGTTGTAGACGCTGTCGTAGAGGTCGTTGAAGACGGGCTTCAGGGTGTCCTTGAAGCGGCTGGACCAGTCAATGGCACCGCGACGGGCAGTGGTGGAGCAAGCAGCGTACATCCAGTCCATACCCATACCACCGATCAGGGGGTACAGGGACTGGGTGGCCTCCTCAACGGTCTCGTTGAAGGCCTCGGAGGGGCTGTGACCACGCTCACGGAGAACCTCGTACTGGGCGAGGAACATACCGTGGATACCGCCCATGAGGCAGCCACGCTCACCGTAGAGGTCAGAGTAGACCTCCTTTTCAAAGGTGGTCTCGTAAAGGTAACCGGAACCGACGGCGACACCCATGGCGATGGCGCGCTCCTTGGCCTGACCGGTGACGTCCTGGAAGACGGCAATGGAGGAGTTGATACCACGGCCCTCACGGAAGAGAGTGCGGACGGTACGGCCGGAACCCTTGGGGGCAACGAGGATGACATCAATGTCCTTGGGGACATCGACCTTGGTGAGGTCCTTGAAGACGGGGGAGAAACCGTGGGAGAAGTAGAGAGTCTTGCCCTTGGTGAGGAGGGGCTTGATTGTGGGCCAGGTCTCGGACTGGGCGGCATCGGAGAGCAGGTTCATGACAATGGTACCCTTCTCAATGGCGGTGTTGACATCGAACAGGTTCTTGCCGGGGACCCAGCCGTCCTGGATGGCCTCCTTCCATGAGGCACCATCCTTGCGGACACCGACGATGACGTTGAGACCCTGGTCACGGAGGTTCAGACCCTGACCGTGACCCTGGGAGCCGTAACCAATGAGAGCAAGGGTATCATCCTTGAAGTACTCCTGGAGCTTCTCACGGGGCCAATCGGCACGCTCGTAGACATCCTCCTTGACACCGGCGAAGTCAATGGTCTTGATACCACGGACGGGGGTGACGACCGAGGAAACACGGGGGAGAGCGGCAGCGGCAGCGATGGCAGGGCGAGGGAGAGCTGCGGTGATGACCGAGCGAGGAGCGGCCACGCGGGCGAGGCGGAGGGCACGGGGAAGACCACGAGAAGCCATTGTGAAGATGTGGAAAGAGAGGAGAGTGGAGAGTGAAGGAAAAGAAGAAGACGAACCGGGGAAGCTTGGGAATTTAAATAATGGGCAAATATGGCTGGGCGATTCGAGTCACCGTAGCAATTTTCGGAGAGCAGACCTTGCTCCCCGGAGACCCACACCGACACCGGCCACTGTATTGATTGGAGGGGGATAATATATTATGTCATGAATTGCGTCTCCCAGTGCGACAAGCATACTTGGGTACGGAGACGGAGGTGCTCCGTAGATTACGGCTCATATTATTTTATGACTCTATCTCATGGATGTTTTCCCCGGAGTAGGAGCCATCTCCGGGATATCAGGAGGGTCCAGACTTATTTATTTTTTATATACACTTGGCACGTGATGATCATTCGTACCTGCCTCGACTTTTTTCTTAGACTCGTTCCTTCCCAAAAGTACTATTTCTGCCTCAGGCCTCCTCCATTATGTCCCTCCGCCACCCCCGCGTCTTATGCCCATGTCTTTGTAGGGTTGGTCATGCCATGTCTATAGGATGAGTGTCTTCTCATTCGGTGATCTGCCCACCATCCAGACCCGGAAGGCCTTGTTAATACTGGACTTTCAAAATGACTTCGTCCGTCCGTCCGGGGCTTTGCATATCCCCAATACACAAGATATCCTCGACACCCTCCCACAGCTGGCATCTGCATTCCGTCATGTTGGCGATGTAATTTGGGTGCGTTCACAATATGAATCACCGCAGACCATCGTCGACTGGAACTTTGGTAATCGCATTGTCTTGGACAAAGAGCCACCGCGCGCCAAGGAGATACCCACCTCGGATATAATTGAAGTTGGGTCGGACCATGATGAACCAGAACCTGTCGACCCTGAAGCCTTTCTCTCCGCCGACTCTTCGCTATGCTGTGACCCGCATACCCCCGGATATCAGTTCCCCGCGCCGATTCTAGCCGCCATCAACGCCCAGCATGATACCGTAGTGGATAAGACAGGATACTCTGCCCTGGAGTCCCCTGGCCTTGTGCTGTCCTTCAGGACACGCTTTGTGACCGAGTTGTACCTTTGTGGCTCGTTGTCTAATGTCTCTGTGTTTGCGACCGCTTTGGATGCTGTCCGCAATGGGTTTTCAGTAACTCTCGTGGAGGATTGCTTGGGGTTCCGCGATTTCCAGCGGCATCAAGAAGCAATGCGACGTATGGCGGATATCCTGGGAGCGACTGGTATCACTGCTCGAGAGCTCATTCAGGAGCTAGATTGGGATGAGACTGAGGCAATTGCTCGTCAAGGCGCACAGCAGCCTAAGAGGTCAGCAGCTACGGCTGGCCTCGAGAGTGTCATGGATGGTCTAGAATTTTGGAATACCGCGGATACTTCTCCCACAGATGACTCGCGTGAGCCAGAAGACCCGAAACTTTCGGAACACGCTAGTCTTTCTCGCGCACAGCGCACCACTGCTGCGCAGGTGCGGGGTCCAGTGGAAGACCAAAAGAAGGTGCGCGTGCGCGTCCGTCGTCCAAAGCGCCGAGAAACCCCAAAAGAACCTTCAATTGGATCTTGCAACGACCTTGACGGGGAAACAACACCTGTACAAGTCATGGAAATACCAAACACATCCCAAATAAACATTGGGGAGGGCGACTCGCGCCTCGTGAACAATATCAACTTAGCCCCAAACTCCTTTGAGCGTATACATGCGGAGGTAGATTGGCAGAAGATGTATCATCTGTCGGGACAGGTTCCCCGCTTGGTTGCAGTCCAGGGTCTACCTCGACCCGATGGAGCCATACCCATATATCGTCACCCGGCAGACGAGTCTCCACCCTTGAAGCCATTCACCTCGGCGGTTGATGAAGTGCGCATGGCGGTTGAACACATATTAGGCCACCCCTTGAACCATGTGCTTATTCAACTTTATCGTGATGGCCAGGATCGCATATCAGAGCACTCAGATAAGACGTTGGATATTGTGCGAGGGTCTTTCATTTGTAACGTCAGTCTAGGCGCCGAGCGCGTGATGGTTCTCCGTACCAAGGCTTCGGCATCTGAGCCCGAGGGGGGCACTGAACCATGTCGAACAACCCAGCGCGTGCCTCTACCACACAAGTCACTTTTTGTACTCGGCCCACAGACGAACATGCGATGGCTTCATGGCATCCGGGCCGACAAGCGGCCAAATGCGACCAAATCTACCGAGGAGCAAGCCTACGGCGGGCAGCGCATTTCCCTGACTTTCCGTCATATTGGTACCTTCATCGACCCTGTGGCCAACAAAATATGGGGACAAGGGGCTGTCAGTAAGACATTGGACCAGGCTCGCACCGTGACCCATGGGGATCCAGCTGAAACAGCACGTCTCATTGGTGCTTTTGGCCAGGAAAATCGTGCCACCGAATTCAATTGGGATGCCGTGTATGGTGGGGGCTTTGACGTGGTCAACTTTGTGACTACGTCAACAGGGCAGCTAGTACTTGGCTGTGATCTTGTGGCCAATTTGCGTGTGCGTCTCTGCCTAGGGGAAAGCGGCGTCCGATATCGATTGATCACCAACCATGAACAACCGGGAGCTGGAAACAGTCACTCAATGACACTGCCTATATATGAAACGCCTGATGGAACAACAATCGCGGGTGACTCCGTTATACTAGCGCACATGGCGAACCGGTCTGCTGAGGTCTCACGGCCAGGTATAGAGTCGTTATGCGGCGGCAATTTCTTGTCAACGATTGACCAGTTTCTGGCACACTGGCGTCAGCACTGTGCCACCAAATCAGCCAGTGTGTTTGAATACGGGATTGAGGATTGGGAGCGTACTCTGCATGGCCAGCATTACCTAGGAGGCTCCGTGTTCACCGTTGACGATTGCTCTCTATGGCCAGTCCTACGGGAGATTGTACAGAGTCAAGGTACATTTGATTCTCGGTTCGTGAGCGTGAATCAATATTATCACCGAGTCGAGAACCGGGGTATCGTTCGGTCTATTCTGGAGGAATGAAGTGTGACTGACTGTGATTTTATTTCCACAAGAAAGCTCTTTCAACGACAGCTTTTGTATTTCATCGTTTCTATCTTAGCTATGGACATATTACGAAACCTTACGAATTTACCTGGCCATGAGCCAGACTGGTTGAAGCCCAGTTCACAATTCCCTTTGGATATAGTTGTTCAGCTGACTACCCAATCCTTTGTTATCTTGCGCTACAGGCAGCACAGTTATATACATAATAATCTCAGATTGTATAGGTCCCGTACTTGCTACTCTGCTGTTCATTTAGAGACATGAACCAGGGAAAGAGGTGGTGCTCAGAGAACTCTTCAGCGCAACATTCCCACAAACCACAGCCTTCAAAAAGGCCTGAGCCACTGCCGATGCACCGGCAGCACTGGTGTGGGTGTGATCCGAGGGGAAGTATGCATCGACAGCAGTCAGACCAAGTGTCTTGAATCGATCTGCCACATAAGCGCCATGGTCAACGTAGGGTACGCCAGCCGCTGCAGCTGCCAGCTGCGCATAGCCCACAAACCGCGACGGGCTATAGGTAAAAGTACCAGTTTCCCAGGGGTTGTTGGGTGTTTGACTCGAGATGATCACATTCGCGCCCTTGGCCTTGAACACCTTGGTGGCATTCTCTATGTATGCCGGGAAGGTCAACACTGTCTCGGCGACCCCGTTGTAGGTTGTGCTACAGGTCTCGCTGCCTGTGCCGGAACAATCGGAACGCCCATTGTCGGTAGGAGTCAAAGAGCCACCGTCGTTGTGCCCGAACTCGATAACCACCCAATCTCCAGACTGAACCACTGCTGCAATGGCATCGAACCGGCCCTCGCGTGTGTATGACCGTGCGCTACGGCCGGCGACAGCTTGGTTGGAGACGGTGAGTGAGGTATAGGGCGTAACATATTCCCCCCAACCTGGGAGTATTAGCATGATGCTATCCTAGAGGCCTAAAGAGAAGAGACATACCAGCAGTGCTACCTCCAGTTCCACCCTTTGCCATAGTCGAGTCACCAGCAAGGTAGATAGTTGCACCCAGCGTACTGGGGATGAGCGCGGAGAGAAGAATAGCAGATTTCATGGTGGCAAGAATATAGAACAAGATTTCAGTGGGAAAGTCTAAGTGAATGTTTCTGTTTCTCTATGAAATGGGTAGGTTCTTCGAGCTTTTATATCTTTTCTGGCCATGTTATGCAGTAGCTTGGATACGTGGGAAAAGCCGACACTTCCAGTGGGGTATAGACGGTGTAGCTGTCGAGTTTCATGGCGTTCCGGAGAAAAGCCGTATGAAACATGCAGAGGGAGGGAATGCGGGGACCCGTTGATCGTCGTCGCTTCTGATTCATGGAAACTCGTCAGAATAAAAAGGTCTGAGTACACGGAGTTGAAACAATGTAAGACTTGTGGGTAAAAGGCCGGGAATTTATCCGAAAACAGTTCATATGTACGGATATAATCCGTATATAGCTGAGCACGGTCAGGTGCAACGATGGTGACATTCCTTGGCAAATACACAGGGGTTTCTGGTAAAAATACGACGATGAATATTAGCAGACTAGATATTTTGACCATATATACAAGTGGGAAATAGTGGATTCGTCATCACTACAACTTCTCGAATGTTGGAGTACGCTTTTGCAACCCAGACAGCAGAGCTGCCGAGACATCCTGCGTCTGCAAAGCAGCGCTATTCCATACGCTCGTATATCGCAGTCCATCTTGCACAGAGTGGTCGCGCGAGAAGTTCAAGATCTCCTTGGTGCCCTGCACAGCCACGGGGCTCTTGCTGGCTATCAGGTCGGCGAGCTTAAATGCGGCCGCAATGGTGGCGTCGCGGTTATCGTATACTGCATTAACGAATCCCACACGCAGCGCCTCCTCGGCGCCGAACTCGCGCGCTGTCAGAGCGACCTCCTTTACCCAGCCGTAATTTCCGACCACCTTGGGGAGTCGGCTGAGGGTACCGATGTCTGCTGCGATTCCGATATCGACTTCCTTGACCCCGAACCGGGTATCCCTGGCACAGAGACGAATATCCGTCGCCGTTGACAGGTCAATGCCGAGTCCCAATGAGAATCCATGAAGGGCAACTATAACGGGCTTTTCACAACGCTCTACCGCGGTGATGCAGTCCTGGAAGGCGGTGATATGGCGACGCAAAACGGCTGCCTTTCGAGCTGGGTCGGTCTTGGTGTCTGACGACAGAAGACCTTCCGAGGCTGCTTTGACATCTAGCCCGGTGGTGAATGCCTTCTCTCCAGCGCCGCTGAGGACGATTGCGCGAACGCGAGGATCCAAGGAAAGCTTGTTGAAGATCTGGGCCATATTTTCCCACATACTGAATTTAATTTATTAGATGATATGGTCAGAAGTTTGGGGGAGTTAGCGCTCACACTTCGATGAAGGCATTCAACCTTTCCGGACGATTGATTTCCACATGGGCCACATATTGATGATCGGTGGGAAGTCGGACGGTAAAATATTCGAAAGAGTAGTTGTCAGCCATATTTTGAGAAGGATGAATGTTTCCGGCGAGAGAGAAAGAGAGAGAGGTGGGAGTATAAAAGAGTTGTTGTTATACAGCGGGGGACCTCGGCACTTGGAAAGAACGTGAGCAACAACCGAATGTCAACTCTTGAATGCCTTGGAATGCTTTAAGACACCTTGAATGATATAAGACCTTGTTTATTATTTACTTGTTATTCCAAGGCTTGCTTGATTTTCTGAAAATTATAAGACTCGATATTATATTTTGCGTATCAACTTAAGATTTGCACGTGCCGAGGCCTCCGATCATGAATATACGAAGAAAAATTAAGAAAATAATATGGCATACATGAAAAAAAAGTTACGCGAGAGTAAAAAGTTCAAGTTTCATGCAATACTACTGCCAAAGAATATTTCGTGGCTCCAGTGTAGGAAGTGAGCTGTTCACTCAATGGTGATCTTCTTGGAAGTAGCGGCAGTGGTCTTGGGTACCTTGATGGACAGGATACCATGCTTCAGACTGGCCTTGACATTGTGCTGGTCGACAGGGGTCGGGAAGGAGAAGACACGCTGGAACTCGCCGACTGAGCGCTCGCTGGCCCAGAACCGGTGGGTGGACTTGGTTTCGTCGGTTTCCTTGCCTTCCTTGGCCTCAGCTGATGGATCGGATTTGTGGTACTCGCGTTCAGTGCGACCCTTGACAACCAGAGTCTGGGGATCGGAGAACTCGATATCGATGTCCTTCTGATCGATGCCAGGCAGTTCGCCGTCGAAATGGTATGCATCCTCACTCTCACGGATGTCAAAGCGAGGAGAGAACGAGCGAACCACGGACTGGTTGCGGGAAGAGCGGTGGTCATCGTAGTCGTCAAGAAGACGGAACAGAGGGGCGAAGTCGCCATGACCGGGGAAGCTGGCACGGAGAAGAGACATGCTGGAAGTTGGGTAACTTGAGAGAAGTGATTTTATACTGAAGCTGATATTTGCAGGCTGTGTGTGATGAGAAGATAGTTGGACACCCGGGGGGTCCACGAGGAACTTATATAGCCATAATGCACTGGAAACCTGAATGTGCCCTTACACAGAAAGATAACACAAAGAAGATAGTCGCTGCTTCGTGTAACTCGTCGTTGACATCTAGTCGATGGATGTCGTGACTGTTGTCTTATGCAATAAGGTGTAATTGAACGACTACAGTGTATACGACCGCAGGTTTGTAGCAGAATGAAAGTGTCATCAAATGTATCTTCCAAGGTTATTGAAGAGTGACATGCTACACTATATTGTTGTCCATGGTTATCCCTACCGGAGTAATAGTTTTCCCGGTGATTTTTGTTAATGTGCTTCACATATATTCGATCACGCCACACGCCTCTCATTCATTGGAAGGGTATTACTAGCCAGAACAGCCCGGAGTTGGGATATACAGCATTTTGAAGTATGACAAGCCTCGGGTGGCACGGTCTCAACCCTTCCTTCAGCTGCCTGAGAGCAGGCCCCCACACGATCATTCAGTGTTCTTCATGCAAAGTGGCCAGGTACTCATCGGTCAGAGGAAGGGCGAATGATTGAATGAGGCGATCAGATGCATTCAACCACTGAATACCGGTGAAATTGTGATGTGATCTTTGTAACAAGCGGTGGGAGATGGGCACATTCATGACAGTCTTCTGCGAGTGCGTTGTGGACTTAGATACGAGGACCGGTTGGCTTTCTGTCGTCTGTAGGCCTCGTTTTCGGTGCAAAATAGCTTGTTCTAACCCTATTCAGATTCAGATTCATCTAGCTGCATGATCTTTTCGTCAAGGTCCTGCCAAATCTGTGAGTAATGGCTCTTGAATAGCTCCTCAAGAGCTAGGGTGTAGTATATACCTGATCCAGGCGAACCTTGAGGTTCTGCAGCTGGCTCTCCTTGATGACCAGGTGGTTCTCATCATCCAAATCCTCCACTATGTAGTCATGTCGCTCTTCATCGTACTTGAGGATCATGGATTTGATTGAGGGATCGCATTCGATTAGCAAACCTGCCAAGGATATAAGATGTTAGCAATAGATCTAAGAGGCAAGAGAAGAAAAAAAGGGGGAGCGAACCTCGGACGGCGCGTGGCATCTTGGAGATGAGGTGTGGAGAGAAGAAGAGAGTTGCGGAGAGAATTGAGGTGGAGAAGTTGATTGGGGATATGCCAAGACATTTGGGCATTGACCCTTCCATATGCCATTGAACTTCTTCTTACATTTCTCTTTGTGACAGAATATCTATTCTTCTATAAGAATCAAACTTACAACCACTGAGAATCTCACTCTTTCTCAATACCCTACCTGAATATAGGGCGCTCAGGGAGGTCCCCTTGACCGAAATCGTCCTATTTAGACCGTTGGTCATAACATAAGAATCATAGTCTCCCGTGGGATTGGTATTCAAAGTAAAATGGAAGTTATTGACATGACCCGGTAGTCTCGTGTGACAAGATTGGAGATACCCTCGATGGACTGGGACACTGTTATTGCAGAAAGCCAGAGCAACGACTTGATCCTGCACATAGTAGATCAAGGTATGAGAAAGTGCTATGAAAACAAGAAAAATCTCGAGATGAAGGGGAAAATACGAGATTTGTACAGCACTGAGGTGTTTACAAGCTTTACCAAAAAGAAAACATACATATATGTAGGCATGTTCTTACCACGCACTGCCATGCAGGTGCCATATAACTCTCCCATACAACGTTGGTCTAAATTGTGCAGGGATATGCGATACTCTCATGCCAAGAGATATTATAGATATGTACCAAATCAGCTAAGAAAATTCTTCTGACCCTTCAATGCTTTCGCTAATATTTCCGGATACCATCGCTGTCCAACATCTTGGTGACTGGTCACTCGAGCAATGAAGGTGCCCTGGCCAATACTCCCTCGGAATATTTCGTTAAAAGTTGCTTCTGCATCCGATTTGACCTTGTCATTTTTCACCAAGTCACGGATATGAGCTGGGATCTTCAAAGATATCTTATCGGCAGAAAGGTCGAGACTCACTCCCTGGAAAACCGGGAAGGAAAATCTAGGTCCCAAAGAGCCCCCAGTGTTGTGGAAGTTCTCCGGCCGTAGACTTACACGGTGAGTGGTTGCGGTGCAGATTCCCCCAGTCAGCGCCTCCAAGGACCGACCAATGTTAATGACCAATGTTCCCGGGAGTGGCGGAGCAGAAATCCATGTGCCGGATTTATTTTGTACCTCGAGGCCATGGTGAGGTGTACCCTGTAAAAGGAACGTGAGGAATCCGGAATCCTTATGAGGACCAACACCTTGAAATCCAGACTCCTCATTGCTAGCTTCAGGTGGGGGAGGGTATTTGATCAACTTCAATTTATGTTGCTGCGGGTTGTCAAAGACCTGATCGAATGCAGTTGAGGGGAGGTCCAATGCCTCTGCAATCAACCCTGGGAACGACTCTGCCAGGTTGCTCACTTCCGACAGATATGTGTCGAATGATTCACGAAATCCGGGGATCGCTGCTTCATCTGGCCACTGACATTATAAGCATTGACTGATACAAAAGCCCAAATATCAGATCTTACCTGGTTAGGACCAACCACATTCCTATACAAAGGCTCGTCTGAACCAGGTGCGGGGAGTTCGGTTGCGAACTGAAAAGGGGCGTTAGGAAATACTTCAATAAATGACAGAGCCCCAGAGCTTACATCGAACTGTTCACGATAGTCAGGCTTTAACGCCGTAATTTCTGCACCAAGCCTTGAGTAGCCCAAGAAATGCGGACTATTGACCATTTCGATCTCAAGCTTTTTCTCTAGTGGTAGTTCGAAAAGACCTAGGGCCTTTTCTATGAACTGTTCTTGGGTTTGGGCTGAAATAGGAGCATTTCGAAGATAGAAAAACCCAACATTCACAAGGGCTTCGCGAAGGCTTGCTAGAAAGGCGGGTTTAGATGAGGATAGTGCCTGGGAGAAATCCAGAACAGGGATCGAAGTGAAAGATGAACCCGACTTGCAAGATCAGCGTAATTCCAAGGAGTGGTGGGATGTAACAGATATCATACCATTTTGAAATAAAAACAGTTGGAAATGAAGTGCAGTGAGTTCGGAGTTGAATCCGAAAATAAAACAATTCCAAAGTCTTTCTTGATTGGACTGTGATGGCGAATGCGACAGTCGTTCTGATCGAATAGAACCCCGCTCTTCGGAGTACAACATACAGTCGAAAAGGACACCTTTTAGACGTAAAAGAATATGTATCTATATGTACTTTATAGTTAAGAATCGCGAATTTTTCATATATTCCATTTCTAGTTAGAGTATGCAAAAAGTCTCCTGGCTCCATGGGATCATAGAATATATCGGAACCCAACAGCCCAGGCTTCTTACATCTTTGAGTTTAGGTGAAGTATTAACCCCCGAGGGCTCAGCATTATCCAGCGTTTTGTTAATGTGATAATGCACGAGACAAATGATTAGGGCTGCCAACGTCACTAGGAATCCGATCGCAGCGACCGCGCTTCCTCCTGGAACGTATTAAGATCCTGAAGACGATGGCAACATGTAAATGCCATATATCGAAACGGTATTTTCGATCATATTTGCAATGGCGATTGCAGCAGACCGTTGCCAATGGCCAGGGAAAGGAATTGGCGACCCAGGCGATGATAGTTTGATATGCAGACTTGTGTCACTAGAGAGTAGACCTCCGCAAAGTCCAAGGGCATCTTATAATCGCTATATTCTAACCTTCTACTATTCATATGGAGTTTAAAGTTTAGATAGAAATTGACCAGTAGAGGTCGAGATACCGCGAAAAAAAAATAATATTAATATTTCAATACTAGATATATATTTAGGATTCAGACGGGAGTACTACTACTTTCTAAGTAAACCTCTGTAATTTATAAATTATCTAAATTACGCGATTTCTTGCGTTTTTAAACGTGATATATAAATCCAACTAACAAGTGACTTCGAATCTATTAAAATATTAAAATATTACCATTAAGACGATTCATCTTGCTGCCGGGTAGTAGGGCCAAAGGCCTAGTACCCTTGCTTGTTGAAAACGATTTAAATGAAGTGCCTAGAGATAAAATCGACGAGCAAAGGGATAATAACCTATTGAGAAAAGAAAACCATTGGTTACACTCAGCTAGCTGTTAAGAGAGAGAAGGAAGATTAACCAAGTAGGGACTAATTAGGGACTTAGCCCTATCCACCAGAGGCAAATTCTTGCTAGAATCACGAGGGTTCCCAGGGGATCCTAGACTATATAAAAAACCCGTATGCATACCTATTAGAGACATTTATTATATGTAGTATTAAACACAGAATCCTTTATACTTGATGGTTTATAAATTCACATCTTGCAGAACACGGAGTCCTTTTCGCCGAACTTCCTCCAGAGCTGATTGAATCCACGCAATTTCTTCACCATGGCCAGCTCGATTCCGTAAACTATCAAGCACAATCCCAAGCGCCGGGCTAATAGATAACGGCCCGGCTAGCAGCATGTCATCTGTCAAAAAGTATTCAACGGATTGGCAGACTTGATGTGCCACGGATAGGTACTCTCCACACCGATTACCCCGAATAGAACCTTCATATCCAGCCATTGAGTCAAGGGTGATGGTTCCCAAGTGCTGGTACATATTGGAAAGACCCGACCAAAGCATCGTTCGCGTTGCCCACAGGAGCGTGAGTGTAGCAGCGATCTGGGCGTTTCGGAAACAGAAAACGACCGGAAATAAAGTTGGAGTTTGAGAAGGCACCTGCCAGTATAGGTCCTGTGATTGCATTGCATCATAGGTAACATCCAACTGTTTATCAATTCGCCAGCATTCACGAATCAAATGTTGGAGTAAATCGACCTGTTGGGTTATACTCAGGCGGGGTAATGATCGCACATGTTCTAGAATCGTAGGAGCTTGGGCGAGGCAATCTATTACCTGATCATGAGACGATTTTGATATTCCTGCCCAAGGTTGTTCCATCCAATTAGACTCCAAGAAAATAGTCGAGGTATGGTGTTTCAGAGAGAACAGGATCTAGCAAGGTGATTAATATATAAACAAGACTGGACTTTTACACGAACCTACCCCCGGGAGTCGGACGCCAAGGAATAATCGATGTCCCGCGCCCGAGGAATGCATCTTATGACCGCGAGATTGAATTAGAGCGATGATACCACGACAGTGGTTGAAATAACCTTCGGATCCCAGGTTGGGACATTCAAGGGCCTCATATAGACTGAGTGCCATGCACGCAGCCAGAGTTCCATCTTCTCGCATGAGGCTGGGGTCCCATAATGCTTTTTGGAGTTGTTGAAGGCCCTGGATATAGTAGTTTAGACCTTGCTTGACTAAAGCATGATCGCCACGCATGTGTCCCATCGCCGAGGCTGCGACGGCTGCGCTTGCCATATCCAGTGCTTGAATTTTGGTAGGTAACTCCGCAAGCAAGGGGATCCAGGATTGAGATGTTGGGTGCCAATTGAATGGGAAGCAGTTTGACAGGAAGGCTTGGATCAAGTTTTGGCATTCGATACGTCTATGCATTATCGCATAGGCATAGCCTGTCTCGGTGAAGGAATTGAATTCATTGCCCTGAGCCTCAGTGGCTGGACTAGAGATAGGGGACTCCAACTTTGTTTCAGCTTGTGGAGAAACAGACTTGAGAAAGGTATGTGTTTTCTTAGCGGCTGGTTGAACTATCACGAATACCGTGTCTTTCTGGTACCCGCCACATACTCGGTTTGAGCCTGTGCATTTGGCACAGAACGGCCTTTGCTGGTCACACTAACCAAGTCAGCGGGGCTTTGGTGTAGGATCTAGCGTCACTCACTGCAATCTTCCTTTTCCGACAGGTGTTGCAGCCTCTTGACTTACCGGCTACTCCGACCATCTCATAAGGCAAGCCCTATATGGTGGGGTCGCATTACCGGATAAGAGATTAAAAATTATACAATCAAGACTTGTCGATAACGCTTAATTGTGCTTTTCTTGGGGTTTTGAGTCACAAGTTTTGGTGAGATTCGTGGCGTTTGGGAGATCTGCCTTGGTGGGGCCACCATCGACCAGTAAAATAGTCATCCATCAATAGTGTTCCAACGCTAAACCCAAAGGGGTACTGTTCTTGCGAGAGCATCTATGGCGAGAATTTCAGCACAGCCTGGCTGCGCTTAAGGAGAATCGAAGAAATATGTCTATAAAAGCATATGTATTCCCTTCTAAGTTCCTCATTATTTCTTGACAAGACCACAGATCAAACAAACTATCCATTCAGCAACTTTCGAAAACATGTTGGGCAGCCATTCAAAATTGAGTATCGCACAGATTGTGTTCTATATACCGGTAACGGCCACTGCACTTTATCTCGCGTGCTATCGGCACAAGCGACCTCGCATGGCATGGATTATCTTGACTTTCTTCTCTATCAGTAAGTATCTTACTACAAAGATCTCATTTCTAGGTACTAACATGATTTCTTAGTTCGAATCACTGCGGGAATCTTGGTCATTATCTCGGAGAAGTCTTCCAGTCTTGGCGTGTCGATAGCTTCTGTTATCTTTCTTAATGCCGGCGTGTTTCCCTTGATTGCAGCAACTTTGGGCTTTATTCGAATCATGTAAGTTACTACCCCAATATCTGTGGATCATGGCCTAATAGACTCCAGTGTGGCGCTCGAACGAAACATGAGCCGACAAATTCGGCAATGTTTAGTTGTGTCCCGATTTCTTTTCATTGTCGGAATCGGACTTACCGTTGCAGGCGGGGCTCTGGAAGGGAGTGACACCGACAGTGATGTACTCATTGGTGTTAAACTTGTCAAGACCGGTTACATCATGGTGGTGGTCTTTGTCGGATGTTTACTCGCTATGCAAGGGTATTTCTGGACACAACGCTCGGCTCTCTCAGTTACAAGCAGAACGGTTCGCAGACCCCGATTCCTCTACTTTTTCAAAGCTAATACCCTCTCAGATTCTCACCTCCACGGCTCTGGCTACACCTTTTATAGCCGTTCGTATCGTATATCTCTTTCTGTCCGTATTCCAGCCAACCGACTTGAGGTGGAGTGATCTGAGGGGTCCAATTGCCCCGTTCCTGACTATGGGTTTGTTGATGGAATATGCTGTTGTTTTGATGTATCTTATTACCGGGTTTCTCATTCCCAGTTGGAGGAATATCGAAAAGCCAGAGATCCTCTTGGATGACGCAACAAGATGAAGAAGAATGTAGCTTCATAGCTCAATCTGGGGATGCTCTTTTCTTGAATCGGACCTAGGTCAATATCAATTATTATCACTTGCTTCAGAAATGGATATACCTATGTAAAAATTGAAACGCGTCTGTCATTTTTGCAAACCTCTCGATTGGACTAACCTAATTCACCATTCTACTCCAGTCCATTACTATAACTGGTTACATTTGGGATTGAGAGTTAAGGACTGGCGAAATCTGTTTACCGCTCCAAATCCGTTTCTTGCGTGCGCAATCACTTTTATATTTCTATCTCTCTCCATATATAGTACTTCCCAAGGTCAACCTATACGCTCTCAGTATTAGTTTTGGTTTGCAATACCGACGATTATGCGTAGTTCATCTTTAACCATAGCTCAACTACTCAACCGCCATGGGACCATTTATTGCGGTATTGAGGTGAGACCCTTAACGGAACTCTAAAGAGTCAATGTATTGCAAATGCATTCATTCAATACCTACTGGCTTATATTGTAGGGCATTAATATCTGGTATTGATGTGCCCATAGTTAAGAACTGAGAATATGTTGTGATTTTAACTGGAGAAACCTGCAATAATGCAAAAGCTCCAACCAGGTCACGTTTTTCTGTATTAAACTCCATTTCTTTGCACCTACAAGCATTCCACCACAGTTCAGGCGAGTATGAAGGGACAGGCACAGAGTTCGAGGCTCTGTCTCCTCATATTCGACATTGAGACAATATCATAGCAAACTCCAATTCCCAACTGTTCATGGTCACCTTCAAGGCTCAGTAAGTACTCACAGGCCCTCCGCCAGCTCTACCACTGGACCCGTAAACCGCTGCTTTCCTCCCAGGAGGTAATAATAAACAATTCCAATAACCATCCATCCCATTGTCACCACGATACAATAGTTCATGTTTTCTGGTGTCACCGGCTCGACCGTTGGGAAAGTGCTAAAAACCATGCCTATGAGGAGCCAAAGTATGGCAACAATGTTCACAACGGGTCCCCATAGTGGCCCTAGGTTGAATGACCCCGAGCCAAGTCCACGGAAAATTGGCGCTGATTTCCGTCGACCATATATCAACATGAACACAATTGGGGAAATATACGAGGCATACATTCCCAAAATTGCCATAGATAACACCGCGTTAAAGGCTGTTGAGCTGCCGAGATAGATAAAACCAAGCAACATTTGGAGAAGACCAACCACAATAACCATATACACCGGAACTTTCAGTGTCGGACTCACTTCTGCGAAGAATTCCGACGCTGGCAAACCACCGTCCCGTGCAAATGCCCAGGCTGTACGGCTGGTAGATGTCACACATGCAGCATTGGCAGCCATTGCGGTCAAGGTGACGCATAGGGCTAACACGGTGGCACCGGCCGGGGAGCCAGTGACGTTTAAAAAGAGCTGGATGAAAGGAAATCCCGTCTTGGACTCAAGTAGGGATTGTAGATCTCCCAAGGAGAACAGTAGGACAATGGCATACACCAGGCCAATCACACCGTTGATCATGACGCTGCCTATCATGGACAATGGTACATTACGGGACGGCTTTGGCATTTCTTCACTTAGATGGCACGCTGCATCATATCTAGAAATAATCAGCATTCCGCCAATTCCTTCAGGAGTAGGATAATCGTACCCGAGGAAAGGATATATAGTGCTCAGCAGTCCTACTAGCCAGGAAACCCCATCATTGTCCCATCCACTGGTGTTGGAGAATTCGACGAAGACGTAATTTGCAGAGTGCTTCTCGGACATTGCTCCCAAAATGGTGACTATTACGATAAAGCCAACGACGTGTAATACACCTGTTCATAATTTAGACCGTGAGTTTGTTTCTTAGGGATTGCTCTCTTACCGGCTGCTGTGTTGGTGTGAGGTAATATTTTGGAACCCCAGATATTGACCGCGGTTGAGTAAGCTAGAATGAACCAATAGAAAAGCATCCCTTGCCATCTAGTCGGTGTATAAGAGTCGAGATTGTTCAAGGTGATGAGGGCCTGTAGCTGCAATCCCGCTGCGAAGGCCGCGGAGGCGGAAAACACCAACTGTCCACCAATTGAAATCCAACCGGTAAACCAAGATGCGGTGGCCTGGTACGATTCTGGTGTGAGACAATGGACCCAGTGGTATTGCCCTTTAGTTATGTTAGCAACGGGCTTAGGATACGTGGAGACTTGATCGTACCGCCAGCAGTAGGGTAGATAGACGCAATTTCACTCAAAGAAAGGACAATGAACATTGTACCAATCAAGGTGATGATACTAGATTGGCCACACAATCAGCCTTCCGATATTACTTTCTGATATTGAGAACAACTCACTAGTTATAAAACAAGCATGGCGCTCCACCATTTGTAAGAGCCGTAGCAACAACCGAGGACAACGCCTCCCAGGTGGCCATTAGGGAAATTTGGAGACAGACGATTGACCAGAGGGAGAATTCGCGACGGAGCTCTTGAACATGGCCAAGAGCCACAAGTTGGTCTTCATCGCTGAGCGGTTTCTCTGTAGGCGGCATTTTAGTGTCATTATTTAGGGAATCCATCATCCACATTCCTGTAGATGGCTTATGTTTTAGTATAAGATATAGTAAACGAAACAGGGCCCCGAGGTCTATATGTAAAAGGAGAGGGTCATAAAGTCAAACCTTAAAAAAACGGCCATGATCCGCATAGGCTACCACATATGTATATCGAACAAGGTATTGCTTATCTTCTCAAACCGAGATATCATGTCTTGGTATTTCCCCCTCATTTTGTCAAATTTCCATTCTCTATCTCGGTTTATCATTGTCTATCATCACGGAATCATTTCCGTATCTCCACTGTTGAATGGAACCTCATTCCGAGCATTCCGAGGTTCCGAGCATGTGTCTCGATATAAGTTCACTGAGAGCCGAGAGAAAACAACCATAACTCTGTTCATTGCTGCCATGGCTCACTCGCACCCACTGAGTATTCTCTCCATCGAAGAGACCAATTTGGCCCGGGATGTGGTCAAAGCTGCTCACCCAAATGTCGTGATTGACTTCCGGGAGATCTTCCTCCAAGAACCACCTAAACCTCAGCTCCAAGAATTTCTAGCGTTGGAACATGCCGGTCGTTTGAGCCCAACCACTCCACGACCCCCACGTCTAGCTCTGTGCCAGTACGATGTGATCGGAGCGGACCGAATTCCCCAGTTTCACGAATCTGTCATCGATGTGGTTTCACAGTCGCGAGTGAAACACACAGTGGTAGGGACGGAACATCATGCCAGTTTGACTCTGTATGGAAAACCCATTAGACCTAAAGGATCTTTCTAATGATTGACTAGGAACGAATTTGATGTTCTCGTCGATCAATGTATGAAATCACCGTTGTTCCAGAAAGCACTGTCGGAATTCGACCTTCCTGAAGGGTTCGAGGTCGTCATTGAGCCATGGCCATATGGTGGCCTAGATCCCACCGATGAAAATCGTCGTTTTTTCCAGGGCCTTTGTTTCGCTCAGGACAAACGCTCTGGGAATGAAGACTCCAACTTCTATTCTTTCCCCTTGCCCATCATCCCGGTTATGGACGCCCATACCCAAGAGATTATCCGGGTTGATCGACCCGCCACGGGCGGCAAAGGTGAAGGTCTACTTGAGCAGACCTTCAAGCGGGATATCATTGGTCATTGCAAGCCCTCCGAGTACGTACCAGAGCTGCTACCTGAGGGTCTCCGCCAGGATCTTAAACCACTGAATGTGGTCCAACCTGAGGGTCCCTCCTTCCGGGTCACCAACGAGTCTCTAGTCGAATGGCAGAAGTGGCGGTTCCGCGTTGCTTTCAATCCGCGAGAGGGCGCGACCATTCACGATGTCTCATATGATGGCCGCAGTGTGATGCACCGACTAGCAGTCAGCGAAATGGTAAGCCCTCACCCCTTATCCCTGAAACTCATAAAACCCTAACCAGAATTAGACTGTTCCTTACGCCGATCCTCGACCTCCTTACCACCGAAAACAGGCCTTTGACTTTGGCGACGGAGGCGGCGGAAATATGGCCAACAACCTCTCACTCGGCTGTGACTGTCTCGGACTCATTAAATATTTCGATGCCATTATCACCCAGCCGGACGGCACCGCCCAGACCCTTCCAAATGCGATTTGTCTTCATGAACAGGACAATGGAATCGGTTGGAAGCATTCCAACTGGCGCACCGGGCGCGCTGTTGTCACACGCAATCGGGAGCTCGTTGTCCAGTTTATCATCACACTGGCCAACTATGAATACATCTTCGCATATAAATTCGACCAGTCCGCTGGCATTACAGTTGAAGCCCGCGCAACAGGTATCTTGAACGTGGTCAACATTGATGCCGGGAAGGTCAGTGAATACGGAAATGTGGTGAGCGGCGGTGTTCTCGCTCAGAACCATCAGCATATTTTCAACGTACGAATTGATCCGGCTATCGATGGCCCTAACAACTCGGTTGTTGTGGAGGAATCCCACCCAGTCCCAATGAATGCAGTCACCAACCCGAACGGAAACTTCTACCAAATCACCAAGCAGACCGTCGAGCGTGCATCTTGGATCGATGCCGCTCCGCAGCTCAATCGGACCATTAAGATGATCAATCCTCACATTAAGAATCCCATCAGTGGGAACCCCGTGGGATATAAATTCATTCCACTGGCCACTCAGACTCTACTGGCCGATCCTGCATCGGTGCAAGCGCGTCGAGCTCAATTTGCTCAACACCATGTCTGGGTCACCAAGTATCGCGAGGGGGAGCTCTATGCTGGAGGTCGTTATACTTTGCAGAGCCAAACTGAAGTTGAGGGTGTCGCAGATGCTGTTCTCCGGGGTGATTCTGTTGTTGACACCGACGTGGTGGTTTGGAACTCCTTCGGCATTACCCACAATCCTCGTGTAGAAGATTGGCCTGTGATGTATGTTGTTTCTTTTCTCTCATTTTTCGTTTACGCCATACTAACTCGCTATAGGCCCGTCGAGATTTTCCAACTCATGATCCGACCCGCGGACTTCTTTGGAGCCAACCCGTCGCTCGATGTACCATCGAACAAGAATTTATCATCACGGCTAGCTGATGCGGAATGCTGTCGGAAGGCACACATTTGATAGGAAAGAGTTTAAAACAAGAATATTGTATCATAGCAACGTCAGGCATTAAGAAATCGTTTGGCACATTTTAAGCCGTTTTTCACTGTATATTCAACGCTATGACTCCAAAAAGGGGGACCTTTAAAGGGAATATCTAAGAATAGAAAGACATCACAGGGCTGCATAAACCGCCGACTATTCTTGCATATACCTATATTTTTACCTTGGCGTGCATGACTCTAGTGAAAAGCCAAAAAAAAAAAAAACCCTCCGAATTCTGCTAGAAACTAGAAACGAATTTCAAAGCATTTAATGCCGATAGAAATTTCCTTTATCATTACAAAACTTTCAGTCGTCGACAACTATATAGATCAAAGTTATCACCTCCGAAGCCGGACGGGGTACGAACCTGTATAGCGGCCAAGATGGGCATGCCTGACTTTTCAGGTTTGTACCTAAACTCAGCTTGATTTTAGAATGGCAGAAAATGATTCATCTACCAAACACGGTATAAAGTTATAGACGGTGTCGTAGGCGGTCTTAAAATCAGGCATGAATCAGGTATATAAGCCTTGGCCGCTATACACTTTCGTAAAGCGGCACAGCTCGGGTTATCTTTCCGCGTTCCGAGGTTTCTTCCTTTCCACCTCTTCCCTATGACACCTTCCATCACCAATTTTAGTTCCTCTGTACAATGATTTCCGAATCTCCGAGGTCTTTACGAGAGGACGATTCTTCTCAGCGGAAAAAAAGAGCTAAATATACCCAAGTTGCTTGGTACGTTAAGGTCCCGGACTTTCTTCTGTTACAGCTTGGTACTGACCACCCCAGCAATGAATGCAAACGACGCAAGCTGAAATGTAGTGGTGGTTTGTCCTGTGCGAGATGTTCCCGTGATCAAATTCCTTGTGTCTATGCTACACATCGCCCTTCTGCCGCATCGATTCAAGAGACTGACCTCAAGGATGAAAGGTGGGTCTCCTCCCGATGTCTCAGTCTTGCCCAGTCATTATTGTCTATTGACCAAAGAGGCATTCCACTGATTTCATCCAGAGCGCATACTCAATTCCAAGCCGTGGATAGGCAATTGGAAGCTCTGCGGTGGGAAGTGCGGAACCTTTCCGCCCGTGTTCATGAGCTTGAATCTCCTCGTCTTCCTTTAGCCTCTAATGCGTCGGCTCTACCCACCCCAGGGAACTTACATCGTATCCTAGATGCTCCCAAGTCGCCGACGTATGTCGGACCAACGAGCGCGGAGTTTGGCCTCACTCAGCCTCGAAGGTCCTTATCCCACCAAGCTGGGGACTGTGCCACAATTGACGACTGTGGTGAGGAACTTGACCTGTCAACTGCTCCTAGTCCTGCGCCGTCAGAAAGAAGCGAAAATACTCCTCTTAGGCATCCCTTGAGAAGCCTGGGTCCGGATGAAACCCTGCGATTAGTCCAAGTTTATGAAGACACAGTCGGTGTGATGTACCCCTGTGTCGACTTGGACGGAGTGCGGGCATATGTGCTTGAGTTCTACCGCTCCCATGATTCAACCACTGGATCTTCTTCAGGGCTATCGACGCACACAGCCTCGGATCAGGATTGGTTCTCTGCGCGCGATGTCCAGGTGCTGAAGATTCTTTTGGCGACCGCCCTACTAGTCGAATCACATGGTCGCAGTGAGCGTGCCGCCCAGTTGGCTGACAGTGTGGAGGATCGATTCGCGAGCCGAATGAAAATCGCCGAGGTCGACATGAAAGAAATTCTCATTCTGACTCTGTTGGTGTGTATATCAAATCCCTGTTCTGTTATAACCTAGGAGACTAATCGCGGTAGTCGATTTTTCACTCTTACCGTGATGATGAAGTCATCGCCGGGCGTTTAATTAACATGGCAGTTCGAGGGAGTACGGAGCTAGGTCTCCATCGTCAAGAGACGTGGCAAAAGACAGGGGGGGTTTTCCCGGGCGAGTTGGAATGGACATGGGCAAGTCGACTGTTCTGGTGCATCTATGTGCTAGATCGCAAGTGTGCCTTTGGCACAGGTTTACCCTTTTCCATTCAAGATTCCGATATCGATACCAACTTGCCCGAGCCGGGACACTCCACTCCGTACCTGACCTGCCTGATCTCCCATGCGCGGCTAAGCACAAAGATCTGGGGCCTGGTAGTTGGATGGCCTAACCGGTCACAGGCGGCCACCTCAGATGGTTGCGCTTATTTAGACGCCCAAGTTCAGCAATGGATCCATTCCATTCCGCATGAATTACGCTTTGATCCAACTTGGCGCTCTCCCACCGGATCAGAGCACACTGATCAAACTATAATGCTTCAGGTCTTTCTTGCTCTACAGGCAAACCAGCTTCGAATTCTTGTGTATCGACAAAATCTGCTCAGTGATGAGCGGATAGCGGACAATGTGGCCGGTGCCTCGACTGCTGTGGAAACGGCCAAAAGTACCGTTCATATGCTGGACTATTTCAGCCGGGTCTCAAATATATATTTCCAGCGACCGGAGCCATTCAACTATTTCCTTCTATCTGCCCTTGCTGCCCTCTTCTTGGCCGTTTTACATGCTCCGGCGCGTTTCAGCCATGTTTGCCGGCCTGAATTCTATACGGCTGTGGACATGGTTCGTCGCTCGGCCACACGAGCGCGTACTTCTCGGAGATTGCAAAAGATCCTCCACAGTTTGAAACGGATTCGATTGAACCTCAGGTGGGATAGTGAAACCGGTCAATCATCTACCCATCGAGGCCATCTAGATTCCAAAGAGAAAGAGACATCCCGAGTGTCCTCCAGGAATTGGGATACAACGCCAGAATCAATCATAACAGAGTCTGCTGCTGCACATTGCACTCCCAGCCTTCATCGGATATCCGGGGCGCTCACCCCGCAGCCCTCATCTAACGCTTTCTGGCCAATGTCACCCGGTACAGTTGCTGGACCTGAATCCAATGTGTGCGAAGATTTGAGCAGCTTTTTTGAGATTGCAGGTGGATTCTACTTTGACCCTCAAACTGGTTCGGACATTACCGCCGGAGAAGATGTGGGGTTGGCCCCTGGAGGTGACACACGGTCGCCCAATGCGCTGGACGCGTTTCATGCCGAGGATGAGGCCTTGACGCGAGTTATGGCCGGTTTACTGTGAATATTTGTGGACCTTATTATGCATAACGATTCAATAGACCAACCTTTAACTTAGACGATGAGCGACTTCAGCTCGGTTAAAACTATCGCTCCACCCGATATTACGATAACTTTTGCGGGTATTTGCACTTCCTTTTATCCGATTGATAAAACGCCTATTGTGTTGACTTGAGATTCCCCCGGAGCTTGGCGTCCTTCAGTTGCATGGTGGCGCTTCTAGCTTTTGGCAATTCCCACCAGTCAGCGGCCTATTTCCCACAAATTCCTTTCCTGAAAGATCTCTCCGTTTCAGGCTTTTACCCTCAGAATGCTGGGTCATTTCCCCTCCCTTATGTCTTGTATCAGAACATCCGTCGCTGCAGAAGATGCCCGATGGGGTAAAAGTCCGGATTCCCACAAATGACCCCTGCATCTCCTTCGCCAATGTATACAAATAAATATGGTAGCCCATTGATCTTCGTTCAACATACGAATCATCTCCCACGATGCATTTTGGTAATATCATCAAACCAGCGCTTTTCGCAGTCCTCGTGCACGGATATGCAAATCCTGGCAGTTGTTCAGGGGCCTGCAATGTGCACGACCCAACGTTGATACAAAGATCATCGGACAAACGTTATTTCCGATTTTCTACTGGCAACAAGATCTCTTATGCGAGTGCCTCATCTATCAATGGACCATGGACTGCTATTGGGTCCGTGTTGCCCAGTGGATCTTCTATTGATCTCGCTGGAAATGATGACCTGTGGGTAAGCATGATCTTTTCCGCAAAGCTTGTCCGGAAGTGATGAACATACTCGGTACTGACTATGTTTAGGCCCCCGATGCGCAGCTTGTGAATGGTGTTTACTATGTTTATTACTCTGTATCGACGTTTGGTTCACAGAATTCGGCCCTTGGACTAGCCACATCTGCAACCATGGAGTTGGGATCCTGGACTGACCATGGAACAACTGGTATTTCCTCGTCATCTTCCAAGGCATACAATGCCATTGATGGCAATTTGTTCAATGATGGAGGTACCTACTATATGAATTTCGGCTCCTTCTGGCACGATATCTACCAGGCTCCAATGAACTCGGATGCAACTAAAGTCGCATCTTCGTCCTACAATTTGGCGTATGACTCCTCTGGAACACATGCTGTGGAGGGAGCCTATATGTATAAGTATGGAAGCTACTACTATCTCTTTTACTCTGCCGGCATCTGTTGTGGCTATGACACATCTCGTCCCGCCAGTGGAGCAGAATACAAAATCAAGGTCTGCCGATCGACCTCACCTACTAGCGGATTCGTACGTTACCCAATATTTTCCTGCTTTGGACCCTCATTCTAACTCTTTATCAAAGGTTGATGCCACGGGTACTGCTTGTACAAACGGGGGTGGCACAGTTGTTCTAGAAAGTCACGGCACAGTCTACGGTCCTGGTGGACAGTAAGTTTTCAAATTGGACCGCAATCCGAACTTGAATATTGGCCTAACATTTTTCTAGGGGAGTATTTACCGATCCTACCCTCGGCCCAGTGCTTTACTACCACTATGTTGACACCACTGTGGGCTATGCCGATGGCCAGAAACTCTTTGGGTGGAATAAGATCGATTTCTCAAGCGGGTGGCCAGTGGTTTAAACCGAAGTGAGTTGGCGTCTAGTTGTTTGTGCCTTCTGCAGACCATAGCAAAAGGCCATTGTTTTTTGTCTTCTTCTATTCCATCTCCATTCCATCTCTGGGGGCGCAGAATAAATGCCGATTTCTACTCATTACGTGTTTTTCGGAGTGATTGATGTGAAATTGTGGAAAACTTTTACTAGATGAGCATGATTCGTTGATTTTTCGCTCTAAAGTTGAGTGGATGGAGTTCATAGTAATGAAGGTTGTCCTATCTCGGCGGCCTCCGCACTCGGCCGACTAGTTAGTGCCCGCGTTGATCTACAAAATGCGTCCATTTTTCCTTTGAAGACTATTCTCCACATTTTATGAATTTCATTTCCTATGGTTAATTCATCTAAACCACTCCGCGAGAAAGGTCCGGTGAAGTACACCGTAGGGTGGAGGCGCATTGTGCGGAATTTCAGCCCATCGTATAGTCTTCCCTATCTAAATGTTCCCGGTTTGTGCTGATAGAAACATCAGATGGTTCGCGGTGACTATGGGCACTGGTATTGTTTCGGTGTTGATGATATCAATCCCTTTCGATACTCCAGTGCTCTATTACTTGTCAATTGTCTTCTTCCTACTCAATATCCTGCTATTCGCTCTAGCTTTCATCGCTTCTTTCCTCCGATACACCTTATATCCCGAAATATGGAGTGTGATGATCCAAGACCCAACCAATTCGCTCTTCTTGGCGACAATCCCGATGGGCTTTGCTACACTCATTGAGATGTGGGTGTTCATTTGCGTGCCAATCTGGGGCGAATGGGCCAAAACAGTTGCGTGGGCTTTATGGATGATAGACGTGGTCGCTGCGGCTTCTGTGACTCTGTCCCTGTCCTTCATTTTGTCGGTCGAAAGTCCTATAGAAAACCGATGTTCAAGATACTGATATCCAATCAGAATATCCCGGCGATATATTACCTCCCTAGATCGGATTACTGCGCTTCAATTGTTGCCAATCGCAGCAACTATTGTGGCAGCAGGTACTGGTGCAGAAGTTGCTACTATTTTACCAAACAAACAACATGCGCTAGGAACACTTCTCGCCTCGTTCATTCTCTGGGGTATGGGCACTCCATTGGCCATTGCAGTATTGGTAATTTATTACCAGCGACTAGCGCTGTACAAGCTTCCACCGCGGGAACTGATTGTGAGCTGTTTCTTACCCCTGGGGCCTCTCGGCTTTGGTGGATTCGGGTATGTTGTATCGCTGGTTTTCTTCAGCCTCTACGGAGTAGCTAATGCGCTATCAGAATCCTTACTATTGGGAAAGTAGCACGGGTACTGTTGCAGGATTCCCACTTTCTAGACCCTATCGCGGGCCAGATGGCATATGTCCTGGGTGTCTTCATATCCCTCCTCATGTGGAGCTTCGGCTTGATTTGGTTCGTATTTGCCTTAGCTACCGTTTTACACAGTTCTCCATTTCCTTTTAATATGGGCTGGTGGGGATTCACGTTCCCGCTTGGGGTGTATGCCGCAAACACTATGGAATTGGGTATTGAAATGGACATCATGTTCTTTAAAGCCCTCGGCACCGTATGTTCTGTTTTCCCATTTTCTTCTCTATTATTACTAACTTTACATCTGAAGACTTTAAGTGGATTTGTTTTGCTGTTGTGGTTGGTAGTTGCATCGCGAACTGCACACGGAGCGTGGCGCGGAACCCTGTTTTATGCCCCTTGCTTACAAAACCTGGTATTGAAAGAAGAGGGGGATGAGCGAGATAGAGATCAGCACCGGGCGTAAGAAGAGAAAGATTGGTTGCCTGTCTCCCAAGCCTCAAAACCCTCCACCAATACCATGCGTGTGCCCAGTTGTGATGCATCGCGCCGGATAACCCCGCTGACAGCGTCTTCTATCACGACCAATGGAGGGAAAGCCGCGAAGCACCGTACATTTTAGGTAATTTTTGCCGAACGCTATCTTTTAATGTGATTGGCTACACCTAAATTTACTATGTATGTATCTATTCACACTACCTAGTATAGAGTAGTCAGCTGTTCAGCCCGTCAGCCTCGCGTTGTTCGCTTTCATCCCGCGCTCTCTCTCCCTTCTTAAATTATGGTCGTTTGTAAAATCGGAGGCCATTCTATTGATTCTTTCCTATTTCAATATCCCTTTCGCGGTAACACTTGAGTATTGAGAATGGTAAGGCCCAGATCTATCTATGACTATGACAAGGAACGACTCTTAATGAAGTCTAGGATACGGAGTATGAGTTTCCCTTCTTACAGGAGGTATTCTCTCCTCTTGAATCCCACAAGGTTGAGTATGAATACTAAGCTTCCGATATATTCACATTCCTCTCTCTAAACTGTTCTTTAGTATTGTCTTCGTTCATGGCCTGAACCCAAGCGGTCGAAATGATCATCCTATCCAGACATGGACACATAGCAATGGCAAGTTTTGGCCGAGAGACTTCCTAGCCGAGGACATTCCATATGCGCGCGTCTTTGTCTACGGATACAATTCAAATATCACCCATCCACAGACCATGTCCACGGCAAGCATCAAGGACCACGCGAATACACTATTGAATTTATTGGATATGGAACGCGGCCTTCAGATGGTAAATCACAACCGGAAATCTTTGGAATATTCTCTAAACGCTTCCTAGGGCTCTATCCCACCGAAAGTGATATTTATCGGACATAGCTTGGGAGGTTTAGTGATCAAGCAGGTCAGATATACTATCCCACCTTTCTTTTACGGCTTCTCACAGTTTCATATGGTATAGGCGCTTCTCAATGCTAAAGAAGATCCAAAATACACTTCTATTCGTTCAGCAACTTCTGGTCTCGTCTTCTTCGGGACGCCTCATCGTGGCGCGAAGGCTGTCGAACTGGGGAAAATCGCAGCCCGGGTTGCCCGCTTTGTCTCCAAAGGCCATGCTAGCAATGACCTTCTAAACTCCCTGGAACACAATTCGCTATTTACTCGACAAATGACCGATCGGTTCCGGCATCAGCTAGAAGATTATCATGTTGTTAGCTTTATCGAAGGGAAGGAGGTGCAAATAGGGGGAATTGGGCCAGCATCTATCAGCCATGTAAGCACCAAAAAGCCTTCTCGTTGAAGACACGCTGACTTTGAAAAGCTTGTGGTTGATGAAGAGTCTGCGGTTCTTGGATTGTCGGGATTACGCGAAACTCAACTCAAGCTCGACGCAGATCACTCGCAGATGTGCAAGGTGGGCGCTCGGGGTCCTATGTACCGTTTGATAAAAGGAAACATCAAACAATTGGTTGATCAGGCGCTTTTGTCGGAGCAAGGCTTCGTTCCACAATCGGTGCCTCCGAGTACCGTATCATCTCCACCGCCAATACCACCACGCCTTCATTCTAATAGTAGCACGCCATACCAGGGGCAGATTCGCCCATCTCCTGCGGCACAAAGGGTGACAGGAGTGATATTCAATGCTCTAGATAATGACCCACGATCTATTCGCTCCGCAGAACTCAAGAATAGGGCTCGATGGGACGAAGCCCGAACCGTCGAATATGAGATCTTTCAGGAGCATTTGCGCACCCTTGGTCCGGATCATTTCAGTACACTATCAGTCGCGTACAACCTGGCCGAAGTGGAACTGGAGACCAACTACTTAGAGAAGGCAGGTGAATGGTGTCATTGGGTGTCCGAAAATGCCCAACGGGTCTTTGGCACAAAGCATCCTCTGGCAATGAAGACAGAAAGTTTGAGCGCCGAAGTCTTGTGTCACCAAGGCAAATATCAAGAGGCTGAGTCAGTTTGCGCCAACGTGTTGGCACGCCAGCAAATGACTATCGGCGAGGACCACTTGGACACCTGTGGCACTCGACGCCGACTAGGAATGACCTATAACGCGCTAGGTCGCCGGCAAAATGCTGTCATGACTGCAGAAAAGTTAACAGACACCCTAAAGCGTCTGGTTGGAGAAACCCACATTCGTGTATTCGGCTCTGCGTTGGACACTTTGGAATATATCGTCAGCAACCAATCTGGAGACGCAAACACACTAATCGTTTTGCGTTTTCAACCAGATGTAAAGCGAGCGGTGGAGATGTTGTTGCAGATATACGAAGAGCTTCAGAGTGCCTTGGGCCATGGACACCCATCTACAATTCGGGCTCTCTGTCTCTACGGTCGAGCACAAAGCTTTATACAGCAGAGTATAGAGGCCTCGGAGACCCTGCGCCGTGCTCTGGCCAGTGCAGAAGAGACCCTAGGACCTGATCATCCACTGACTATGGACATCGTGGGCAACATTGGCGTGATGTACGCTCTGCAAAATGCTCAAACAATCTCCAACAATCGTGCTGCGGAAGCATTCCCCTGGTTGTTACGATATTTGAACTGGGTTGAACATCGCAAAGGAAAAGACAACCCCGAAACCGTAGCCACATTGGAGCTGCTGGGCAATTTACACTTCAACGCCAGAGAATACGAACCCGCCCAGCAGTATTATGAGCGCCTGGTGGCGAATATGCGCGGGAGCGACTCAAAGGTGAGCCAACGTGTCGACAATCAACTTCAACTATGTCGGGCGAACACCATGTACACCCGTCGAGGCCTGGGGTCGGGAATAGGAGGGTTTTTGTCCAACTTGCAGCGATATTAAACGTTTTATGGTTATTTGATTTACATTTCAATGGGATATTCATTATTCACTCATATTAATTGTGGTACATAAGATGTTAACCCGCGAAATGGTATCATTTGCACACACAGAAGGTCTCTCGATATAATGCTTTCCCGGTATGCCAGCCCCGATCATCAGCTATTTAGTGTGAGAACTTGTCGGAAACGCTCTTTCTGTGAATGGAATTAGCGCTTAGTTCGCTCCGTTAAGGTCCTATGGGAAATCATACCCAGTCTTGTCCAACTGCTCACGGCCGTTATCGGTGAACTTCTTCGCCTGGTCACCCTTCCCACCGCCGACCTTGTCCTCCACAGCGTGAATACCTTGAGGAAACAATGTTAACTTAGGAGTCCAATGCACGAGAGTATAGACACTGAATCTTACCCTTGTCGATGTATTCTTGGCCCTTGTTGCCTCCAAGCTTGTTAGCGAGACCGGAGAGTTTGTCCATTGTGAAGAGAGTTGTGACTGGTAAAAAAATGTAGAGGAAGATCTGTAGAGAAAGTTGCTGTAGAGGAAGCAAGACCAAAGATGAACCGCCTTCTTATAGGGATTCACCGAATCTTTCCGATCGAGAATCTATTACAATATACTCCCCATTTTGTATGATGCTTAGCGCTTCCTGCAATGATGATTCGCTTTAGCATAGAATGCTATCGTCATTGCCGCATTCGCATCATTTTAAATGTGGGTTTGTCCCCGCAGAGCTTATCGAACGCATCTTAATTGGTATACTGCTTCACTGTAATCTCACATCTGAGGTCATATTGATGTTCTCCATCTAGATCTAGTCCGTAGTCTACTGGTGATCGTGACGTCAGGCGAGTATAAGGTTTGTGTTGCCTGAGGCATAAATTGAGACCTTCATAATGAGGCAGCCTTTATACTTAAACTCTCGCCCTTTTTGCTCCCCCGTCAGGTTTCCCAGGTTATACATAGAAAAGTCGCTTGCACAAAGTATGCTTTTTTTTACCGCCTTCACATTCATCTCAAAACACCAGCTAAAAAGATATCCAAAAAGACTAACCAAAAAGACACCTCAAAAGAGATATAAAAAGACCATCTCAAAAGACATCACAAGGCTGCAAACGCGGCCGATCATTCTTGTCACTTGCAAGTCTACATTTCTGGATTGTAGACTTTGAACCCTTTTGTCATTTCCATTATACACATGTATTCCTTCTTTATCTCTAGTTACATGCAGTATTCCCCACCTATTACTTCAACAGCAAAAAATAGTAAATCTCGTGTCAGTTCAGACTCGGAACAAATCCCGAGGAGACTAGCTTCGGGCTCGGTCCCATTTAAAAAATAAAAAGGCGCCGTCCTACTCACTTTCGCAGAATTCTGAAAGCTTAATCCTAATTGACTTCCCGGCGCTGCAATACATTTATTATGGATTAGGATTAGGTTACGCTGCATCCAATGGAATTAAGCCAAAGTTTTCAGTTAGATGAAAGGTGTGATTCTCCAAAACAATTTCTGTCTAATATATCGTACATATTGTATTGTAACTAGTGCCTTGTAAAATGGATAAATTTACCAATCGGAGTAGCCGAAGTACAGTGCAATGGGGGCCGGATCAGATAACGGAGTCTGCATCCGTCCACTTGCATACTGCAAGAGCCAATACCCTCCAAGCCTGGTAGGACCTAGTGGGCTTGGTATTGCTTGTTGTAGTCCCAGAGAGACTTGAGAAAACCAAGGATTCAAGCACGCCATTGATATTTCTTTCGTGCCCAAAAATTCCATGTTCTATGTATCTCCGCTCCCAAAATAGGCAAACTAAAGACAAGGATTCTTAGGGACACCAAAAATACCCTAGTATGAGACCAAAACGGTTATCATACCGGAGTCTCCGGTTTACACTAAGCACTCCAGCGAAGCAGCTAATGTATTGGAAGTAATATTTAGCCCCTTCCAGTGTGCAGCGCAAGGCGAGTATCAGACCAGATATGGAGATGGATTAGGGAAATAGCTCCGGCTAGTTTGATTCCAAACAGCCTACTTCAACAAAAGTACTCCCCACTTCAATTGTGACGGAGCCTACATGTCGACAATGGACGGTCTCTGTTAGTTATCAGATTAATAGCATAACATTGGGCTATTCAAACAGAACCCTACCACACGGTGGTAATCTGGCCTAGTGAATATCCCTGATGTAGATAGAGTTGATGGTTGTGGTCGGGTATATAGAGCTCTGTTGTACTTCTCAAAAAGTCTCCCCCTCCTTGCCTATGTTATGCTAATAGGATTGTACATCTGATCTTGCGCATAAAAATCCACCTAAAATACATATCGCGTCTTAATCATGTCAGACACTCTCTCGGCCACGGCATAAAGAGTGCTGGTCAAGTGGCCACAAAGTTGGAAGGGCAAAACAGAAGCGTCAACCACTCGAACGTTTTTAGTGCCGTAAACCCTGAGCTCGGGGCTGACAACGCCACCCTTATCCCGAGGCAGCATGCTGGCAGTGCCAACTGGGTGGAAGTTCGATCTATCTAAAGGGGGTCAGTACAACTTCTCCAGCTCTGAACTTGATGTGAAGAAACAATACTGACATGTTGACTTCACCCAGCCCTCCCATATTGAGTCCGACGCATTTTCTGGAACATTGTTCTTTCCTGGTGCTAATTCTTCTCCCACAAGGTTGCTCAGGGGGGCGGTACTGAATGCCTTGCGGATATATTGAGCCACATCGGCATGGGCTTTCAGATCCTGTCCAAACATAAAGTAATTGGGGTTGATAGCAGGAGGTTGAGAGCCGTCTGTTGAGTTTATGTGAACACTCCCCCTCGAGAAAGGAAGAAGAGGCCAGTATTCGCTGGAAAATGAGTGTCCGATGGGAAGCAAAACAATCTCCGCATACGGAACTTGTGATTTGAATATGAGATCATGCTGAAGTTGAAAAGCAGCCAGGAGATTGGCTTCTTCGACTGCACCGTTGGAATTTTCTGAGACATTTTTTGCGTATTCCGCGAGGGTTGAATTGACAAGAGATGCAACAGCATGAACATTGTCACCGAATATGTGACTAGCTGATGGTAAAGCGGAAATGGTCGGTGAACCAAACCAGAATTCGTTCCCTTCATAAGAGAGCCCAGCGTTGGTCTGGTCCTGCAAGTTCTCACCAACAGTGGAAATATTCACTTGGACAGGAATGTCAAAGCGACGGAGAATATCGGGATTTCCGATCCCAGACATCTCCAGAAGGATAGGCGTTCCGAGGGACCCAGCCGACAGAATTACCTCCTTCGAAGCATATATCGTCTCAACTCCGTTGACTCCGGTAATTTCAACCCCAATAGCAACGGCCTCACTGGGATTGCTTGCCCATATGATCTTATTCGCGTGGCTGTTTGATATAATCTTGAGATTAGAACGAGCTGCGTAGGGCCAATAGTAAGCTCTGGCTGCATCGTGGCGAACATTGGCCTGGCGATCGACGGTATTGGGATGGACCGTAAGCCCCACCATGCTACCACCATTGCAATCCCTATTAAAGGGAAGACCCAGTTGCTGGAAAGTCTCATCGACCGTAGGTAACACACTGCCGTTTGTCATTTCTTGAGGCCATCCGACTTTGAGCGGGCCTTGTTCCCCATGATAGGCGATGTAATAATCTGCTCCACGAGCAATTTGTTTTGGTGTGGGAATCTGGAACTGCTCTGATTTCTTATAGTATGTGAAAAGGTTGTCCCAGTTCCACCCCTTGTTTCCGACTCGTTCCCAGGCATCAATTTGAACTTTTTGCGCTCGAGTGTATGACATCCCTATGTGAAACCAGGTCAGCATAGGCATATTCCACCGAACGTCCAAGATTAGGTGGTCAAATTACCGTTTATAGTGCTTGTACCGCCAATGGCCTTTCCAGCACGGATAATCTGCTTCGATCCTCCTGCATATGTTTGTTCTTCGGTTTGGTAGGCCCAGTCAATCTCCGTGCCAAATGCCCGACCGTAGCCTGTCACAGCAGAGACGTTAACATTATTGAGGACTGAATCACCAGTTTCGATCACTGCCACCGTGAAACCTCCCATCTCTGAAAGTCTATTAGCAACGACCAATCCGCTCGTGCCCCCGCCAACAACAACAAAATCATATGAAGGTGAGCCATTTTGGTTCTTCGCATTCACCGCTAGGCAAATAATTACACACCCAATGATTGAGAGACGCATTGTGGTTGTCTCAAAAAGAGACGCGAGTGATAAGAGGGAAGGGATACTTCCGTGCGGAGAGGAGCCATGGAGTTTCTTTCTACAACGTAAACAGATTACCAAGTATGTATAAGGTTTAAGCGGTATTCAGGAATCCAACAAGAATCTAACAGATTTACTCGTACTCAACCCTCCACTAGTAACGTGGAGGTTGCCTGGCAGGTATTTGGAATGTTGGCTTCATTCTCCACGTGCAACATGCAAAAAAATGTAGAATGCGAAAAGTAGACACTAAGGACGAACGCAAATAATACGAAACTAACCTTGAGAAGTGAGGTGAAGCACTAGATGCATCATATTCTCCCCTAATAAAGGAACAAGAGTTATTGATTGCCCGATCGGGAATGTGGCCTGCAGAGGGTATGTATATTCAGCCTTGGAAGGCTATATAGTATATCTGGTTAGTAGAGCATCAATAATACCTTGCACATCGCTCTCTGACAAGATGTCATCATCTTCACTTCCTGTTCTCTTCTCCTCCCTCTTCTCCTCCCTCTTCTCCTCCTTCTTCTTATCCACTGGCTTCCCATTAAGCATAGTCTCGACCTGCTCCTTGGTGTACCCGAACTCGCTGTGAAGTCGCTGTCGGAATTCCTCATCCTTCATTTCGGCATTAGCCTCGTCATCTGGAGTCTGCTCCATGCCCTCCTGTTCTTGCTTTGGTCTGTTGATAAGGGGTATACTTTGTCTGATCTTTGACATGAAATTGCTGCTGCGTCGTGTTGCAGGCTTTTCGCGAATAAGATACAATCTGTCTTTGTTTCGGTCGTTGACCTTCAACTCAGCCATATTGGACGAGACCTGTGTTGCAATTCTACTGTCCCGCAACCGTCTGGTATGATCAAATAACTCTTCTTGCAAATCGTCAGTGATCCATTCCTGGATGATGATGTAGTTGGGATCATGCTTTCGAGTGGGAGTCAGTGTTGAAACCACAAAGTGGCAGCACCCAAAGGGGGGTTTTCTTACTTCGTCCCAATCCCAATCCCAGTATAGGCCATATGCTATCAATGAATCCGGAAGTAGATACTTTCGATGAACCTAGTTTTGAGTTTTGTTAGCTGTCGAAACACTGGGCAGAGCTCGTTTCCCCATACCTTGATCCACATGGATTTGCTTTCCTCTCGCTTGCTTTCCTCTCGCTTTTTTTCATCTCGCTTTTTTTCCTCTGGCTCGTACTTCTTCTCTTCCTTTGGAGTTGGGTGCGGCACCCCGCTCATGATTATAGTAAGCGTCCTAGCCTTGACATGTTCAATGCCTTGAATGATGGTACGGTAATCGCCGAACTGAATCCACTCGAGCGTCTGTTCACTGCGATTCATCACGGCATCTAGCGCTTCATATTCATTGGTATCTAGAACAGCTAACTGATCTAGCACGGTCGTGTCAAAAGATACCTTCCACTCTTCGAGCTGAGATTCAACCGTGGAATCCGGGAGTTTGATGCTCCGGGCATCGTATGTGACATGAATTTGATAGTTTGTGATGGACGCCCTCGGAGACAAGAGACTGATGCTGAATATGCGCGATGGCGGCGAGGAAAATATCTGTGACTGAGAGCCTGATGGTTGTCTAGAAGGGAGAAGGCTTAGAATATCTCTAATATATCAATCCGTTAGATATGATCTTGCCTTTCGCGGGAATCGCCGTTTGGGGTGGAACTCCGTCGACTTTCACTTGCTTAGAATGAGTACTCTGTTTTGACGAACCTCTAGGAGCACGTACCTGGATGGCTCATCGATATTATCAGATTCCCTGCTCCACGTTAATTTTGTTTTTTTGTCAAGGGAATCTATAATCGACAAGATCCACTTACTCTTCAGCAGTCGCCGCTGTGCCATTTAGTCCATGATCCATGGTGAACGAGCCGTGCTTAGAGGGCTCCGAAACCTGGCGAAACCTGGATCGCTCTATTTCCAATGGCTGTTCCCTAACTGATCCAATATTGGGAGCTTCTGAAGTTTGATTTCCAAAACTACCCAATTGGGCTTTCTGGGCTGCGATAATAGCCCGAACCAGGAACTCCTGATCCTCCCTGGAGTAGGCAACAATCCCCGTGGTGCGTTGAATATTTTCACCGTATCTGTTGATATTAGCAATAGACCTCCGAATTATTTCCAAGGAGAGAATAGGAGTGACTCACCCCCCCATCATCCGTCTCGAATACGCCAGCATAGCGACCTGGAGCATCAACATCAAAGTCCCCTTGACATTCCTGAGCTCGTTCCGCATCGTATCCATTCCCGGGAGTAGGAACGGCCATTTGAACATCTCTGCGCGACTCAGTTTGACCTTGCCCGATATGCGGGAGTTCGCATGCAATTGTCTACTGGCTTTGCCTAAGGACTGGTCCAGGGACTTGAAGATCTCTTCGCATTTTTTCGCTAGCTTCAGAACTGTTTCTAGGCCAGTAGTGTTGAAGACACTCTGTTTTGATATTGTCGCCTTGGTATCGGGAACTGGTTTCACATTGTTGTTGGTAGTGTTGCTGACATTGCCGTCTGATACCGGATGTTCATTTTCGACGTTCTCCTTCGACAATTCGCCCAGTTGCTGTAGAATACTCGCATTCAATGACACATCTTCAGCAACCATGGTAATCTGTTCCGGCGCTGTCTTGACCTGTCCTGCAAAAGTTACGAGCTTTACGGAGCATTGTACCCCGGCTGTTGCAATTGCGAGGATGGCAGAAGCTGCCCCAATGGCTTCCATTATCCAGATGTAACGTGTGCACTCGTTTCGGGGGTGTTGGAGACCCCCAAATTCACCCGGAGCTGAGGATTATATGCAGGTGCGGCTGAGAAGCGGGGCAACAACTTCCAAGTTGGCTTTGCAGAGTAAGAAAATGTCGAACTGAAAAAATGGTATCTCTAGAATATGCGACTCAATGATGGATCTCAATCGAGAAAGAACGTGTAGCATTCACTGTTAATGGGATCAAACTTACACTGTTCATGTATTAAGAGAGACTCCGACGGACAGCCTCTCAACACGCTAAAATATGTTGCGCTAAGACGCTAAGACGGCTCTTGAGTCTCGAGGATAATCCGATTAAAGATATTTGATTTCAGTAGGAAATTCTCAAACTTCAATTCGACAGGTACATCCATTCATGACTTTGGAATATTTCTCGCCCAGAGCATCCTTGGCTCATACAACAATTAAAATATATGAATGTACGGGGGAAATCTTAACAATCTCCGAGTTGTCTATGCGAATGCTATGTACTATTCTCAACAGAAATGCGGATCCTCAAACTACCTCACTATTCTGAGCAACGAACTGCCCAAATAAGGTAGCCATCAGGGATCTCAACAGCAAATAACTACACAAATGCATGCTATTTCCAACACCAGCGTGATGCTCTTTGCCTCCACCCTCAGTTTTCCTCGCAAATGGAATCAGCGAAACAGGAAAGCTGTTAAAACTCCACAAAGTTCATGTATGGGCCCAGAGGTCGAGAAGCTACCCATATGAAGATTTCCACTTGAACAGTTGTTTAAACAAGACGTCAGGCGTAGCTTAAATATCTTGGGTTTAATCACTTGAGGGAGATCCACGTGGTTCTGGGATAGTTCCAAGATGTCTTTCGGTGGGGGAGAAACACTTGTGTCAAGCTGTAGCTATGACCCTATTCAGGTCAACTCAGCCAAGGCGCACTTCTTGCGATGACCCAAGAAAGAGAAAATGACCGGTGTTAACCAATTCGTTGTTTTCTCCGCACCCAAACCTCTTGATCCGTACTCCCAGGTGTCGATGAGTCGCGCAGCTGCACCTCCCACACCTTCAGTGTGTAATTCCCGCGATCAGCGCGGCCAGAGAATATATCAAATGACCAGCCATGCTTGGGACATGTGAGACCCGCGCTGAGCACGATGCCAAAGTCTTCAATATCAAAGAGGTTGCCCCGTGAAAGTGGGAACGATGAATGGGGACATTGCTAGAAAGAATGAGCCCAATACTTCCGATTTAAAGAAACCTCTGACTCACATGATCAACGGCATGGTATTTGCCCTTGTATTTGAACACGAGGACTTGATCTTTAAGTTCTCCTGGTAGATCAATATCTTCGACTGGCTCTATGGCGCTGTTTGTCTTGGGAATATTGAAAGCCTTGCATCTTGGCACAATCCGGGCGTCATCATCGATGCTCGGAAACTCAGACGCAAGGCCAACCGGGTGCCAAGCTGCAGTTGCCCGTGTGAAGGGATTCATTGCGCAAGAGGTCGGTCTCGGTTGTCGGGAGAAATCTCCAGGGCTCTCCCACTTCCGCCCCACTAATCCCGGTGGGTCTTTGACAACTCCCGATATTCAAGATTAGTATATATGTAGACGGAATACGGGGTACATAAGAATATCAGATGGGTAACTTAGCACCATGTATATATATGAGAAGGCTACGGCTTTCAAGATTGTACTTCGAGTTACATTGGCATTGTTTCACATGATATTCACATGATATAGGGATGAAATATGGATTCTATCAATTCCTGTTTCTAGACTGGGTTTTACATATCCTATTTTCCACACGTCAAAAGGAACATCATTGTTTTGTGTTTGGATTTGAGTCTTTTTGGTTCTTTGCCATTTCGATTGTGATCAAACACGCACATCGAATTCATCTTAGCAGTATGAGTGAATCATGAAGTAATGGGGGATAAAAGCGGGATACTAATCATCATCTTAGCCCAAAGACATTGAACGTATGCGCATATGGAGCCTGAGCCAAATCATTTGATGCACATGAAGCCGCAACCTTCCCGAGCACGCTCACAGGCCTTCTTAAGAGCCTGCTCCTCAACGTCGGTCCATTTGTATGTCAGCTCATCCCAAGGTTTGCCAGATCGGAACTCCTCGCGGTGCTTCTTGTGGATGGATTGCAAACGGCCCACTTCACGTGGATCACCTGTTCCGGAATAAACTATGAAAAGTGTACAAGGAGGGAGAGAGTCATGAATGCGCGAAATATTGGAGACTGTCCGGGATACAGTGTCAGCCAAGACGTCAGGCTGTGGTAGATCTGTCGAGTCCCCATTGGCAGTGGTTGTGGTAGGTGTGGTTTCTTCAGGAGGAGGGAAAAGGGTTGTAGATTCGTTGGCGTTATTGGGGTCGGGGAGACGGCTACACCAACCACGAAGATATTCGAGATCACGGATGCGAGCCCAGGCAAAGTCAACACCACCTCCTGGAATGGAGGCATTGGACTCGTCTCCATTGATTACCGCTGAGACACCGCTGACGACTGCATCATCATCCCCGCAACCAATCGAGACAGTTGCCTGGGCACCGAACCCGCGTTCTGGGTTGCCCCAGTCAACCACAGCTCCTGTTCGTTCCTCGCCAGGTCGAGGGAGATGACTCGGCCGAGTAGAGCGCGATAGTCGACGGAATATGCTCTCATTCGAAACCTCGCTTGTGCCCCAGCGCTCGCCTTTCTCGCACTTCAGCTTCACAAGTTCAAGAACAGCACGGGCATCCTCAATGGAGTCATGTCCGGCCAGTCCGTTTTGGATCTGCTTGTTTTGGTATTTCTGCGTGAGCCATTTCAGGCTACATTTGAGTGGCGGACCACGCGGGTGTGGGTAAATAATGCTGGTATCGACAATGAACGGGTGGACAAGTTTGAGTGCTGTAAGATCGGAATTAAGAGAGTGTCCCACAAGGATCGCACGCGGCGTGAGAAGAGTCAAGAGCCGTTGCTGAATATCATGAAGGGTCGTAGTGACGGGCTCAAGCATCTCTGGAGTGATTCCAGAGTAACGTGTGAGATAGTTGATCACTGGCCGTGGTGGTTTGACCAATTCATCAAGGACTACCTCGCCGTCCCATCCGACCATGCTGATGCGTGTGAGTTCGGACTGACCACCCTCGGTAATACACATCTCACAGTCGAGCGCAAAAACATCTCGACCAGCAGTGACACTGCCACTTTCAATTTCAGCATCAGGCGGTTGAGCAGACTCCAGAGTTGGAACCTGAGTATCCACCCATCCATCTTCCACTGATTGCCCGCCTCGCTGACGAGCCTCCAATTGGGAAGATTTTTCCTCGTCGGAAGAGAAGAAAACGGGATGCAAGAGAAAGTCGTTTTCTAGTAGATCCTCGCGTGAGGTGACAAAGGCTGTGATTGGTGTTCGTTTCGGAACGAAGCCTTTCTCGACCTTTGCGGGTCGTGCGCCCTTCACACGGGAGTCATCGTTTTTGGTCTTGGGGGGCGTAGACATAAGAATCGCCTGCAGTGGTGAATGGACCTTGTTGTATTTGTTGTCGCCGGGAGCCTTGACAGGCCAGATATGGGGGAACATGTCCGCTAGGGGCTGAAGTGGTTCAGGGAGGGTTTCGCGTGTGATAGATCGAGGATTAAAGCGATGCGAGCGGTCCGGCAATGGGAGGCCCTGTTTCCATCGCTCGTAATCAGCGGCCTGTTCGTCAGGTACATCCTCGGCAGTCTTGCACTCCTGTGTCTCTTGCTCTCCGGTGGCTGATTCTCGTTTCACAGATATTGTCCCATCAAACATGCCCATCTCTAAGCCAGGTACCATCAGTACAACCACCTTTCGCACATGGCCAGAATGCTTCATGGAAATCCATTGGGGCGCAATGCCATCGGCAAAGCAATAGAGGAGTAGCCCCTGGAGATCGGCGATTCGGATGGGTGACACCAATTTTCCATCGGCGTATGTGAGATCTGGGTATTTGACTTTCTCGCCATCAACCCTTTTGCGCTTTTTTGACGGATGGCTGCCGTTCGAACCTTCGCTGCTCGGGTTATCGCTCTGCAGACGGGACAAGGTATCGGCCACACCGAATACCTGAGGCGTGGAATTCCCCGTGGGGTCGTCTGAGCTGAGCTTTCTCTTCCTATCTTTTCCCATGTTGTCTTCGGATTTGAAGGTTCCACGCCGGACTCGCAGAATAGAAATTCATAATGATACGCGATAAGGTCACGTGCTATATCAGATTGAGATCACGTGCACGTCGGAAAAGAGCGTCGCCGGTGTCGGTGACTTTTCCGGCTTATATACAGAACGGCACGCCAGAAACGCCAGAAACGCCAAACGATCTGATAACCGGAAGATTGGAAATCTGCGATCGCCGTGCAGGGGGAGCTTATTTTTGGTATCCATCACGCCATTGCTCTGACACATCTTCTTCCCTTCTCGACTTTGACCTCACTTTAACACTTGTTGGACCTTATCTTCAAAGAATCCGACTCATCGCCGATTCTAGGCTTTGCCATCATTTCCCGTCGTCGCATCCTCCTTTCACGCACGCTCCACCATGTCGACACTCACCGAAATCACATCTGAGGCAGACTTCTCGTCGCATCTCTCTTCCCTATCACCTTCTGCATTGGTCGTCCTATACTTCCACACTCCATGGGCTGCCCCATGCGCGCAGATGGGCGCAGTGCTCTCAGCCCTCGCTTCGCAGTACCCCGCCACTACCCCGCCTAGCATCTCGTTTGTCAGCATCAACGCCGAGGAGCTACCTGATATCTCAGAGGAGTATGACGTTTCTGCCGTGCCCTTCGTCGTGTGCCTACGTAGTGGCCAAATTTTGGAGTCGATCAGTGGAAGTGACGCCGTCAAGGTTCGTGACGCTGTCGAGCGCCACGCTGGCCGCGGAAATGTTGCCGGTGCCACCGGTCCGATGGAAGGTGTGAAAGCCAACATCCCCCCGCCGCTCTCTGCTGTTCCTCGTGAGGACGGTCCCCTCACTGCTACTCAGGCTCCCGTTACCGCTTCTCAGCCCCCTGCTGCTGATGCGGCTAACGCAACTGCCGTTGCATCTGCCCCCGCCTTGACACCCGAACAATCCCGGGAGGCACTATTTGCCCGCCTCGAACAACTGGTCAAGGCAGCATCTGTCATGCTGTTCATGAAAGGAACCCCGAGCAGCCCACAATGTGGATTCAGTCGACAGCTCGTGGGCATTCTACGTGAGCGTAGTGTCAAGTACGGCTTCTTCAATATCTTGGCCGATGAGGATGTACGCCAGGGTCTGAAGGAGTACGCTGAGTGGCCAACTTTCCCCCAATTGTGGGTGAACGGCGAATTGGTCGGTGGCTTGGATATTGTATGTGTTTGATCCCACCCCTGTCATTTGATTTGATTATTAACTCAGTGGTACAGGTCCGCGAGGAAATCAACAATGACCCCGATTTCCTCACTGATCACTCGGTCAGCAAGCCCACTGCGGCTGCTTGAGTGGTTGGTTGATCGTTGCACGATACCCATGATCCCCCTGTCTCTGGGGCTAGATGCTAAAAGTCTAACATAATGATAAACGTTTTTGTCTCGATACGGCTTATATGCATGTCTGATCATATCTTATCCTTCGCATTGTTGCGGGACCCGGCTATAAATTGAAATAGGCAGCATCGAATCAAACCAATCCCTTGTCACAGATCATCCCTGTTGACCGTGACGGATTCAACACTTCCTCTTCAGATGCTTGCACTGGTAGTTCAACCTACCCTGTATCCCAATGACTGTGTCGAATGATTGCCCCAAAGCTGCTCTCGGGTTTTCAAAATACAAATACATTATATCTACAACATTTGGATCTACATATGTAGACATGGACCATGGGTTGAGAAGTTGGAACACTTCAGGCTAACAATATATTACATTCGTAACTGCTAAGAAGATGAAAATGATGCCGAATCCTAGGTATGATTCAGATATTGTGTTGATCGATCTTACTCTTTTGAGTAGTACTTTCTTCTGTGTTGTTTTCGTATACCTGAACAATCTCTGGTTCTCCCTTAATCTCCTCCGTTCCCCTTTGGTCCCTATTTTAGCCTCTTGCTGTTTCTTACGCATCCCTTCTTCTCTAGTTGTTCTCGGCGTTGCTAGCTGCCAAGTCCTTTTGGCCCTTTTTCGTCCAAACATATGGGTGCTGCTTCTTACAGACAGCAAATCGGGATAGCAGAGCATCGGTATCGACATAGGCACCTGCTAACCAGCGAGATCCTTCACTGGCGTTGAATTGCCGGCGAGCATGAAGGATTCGTCTGTTATCGAAGATGACACAATCACCAGGGTTGAGCTTGAGCTCAAAGATACGCTTCTCATTGTCAATAATCGAAGTGAACCTCGCAAGCGCGTCTCGTAGCTTGTTCACACGCTCAGCATCATGGCCTTTCCCACCCCTTGATCGTAGGGGAGACTGAAAGGGGGGCGAATAATTGACATGGAGCAGCTTGTCTGTGTCGGCATCATGCTGAAAGACAGGCCGTTCGTTGTAGTAGATGTTCTCCTCGTGCCTATACTCGTATCCCAGCCGCTGCTCGCAAAGGACTTTGTAATCTTCTGGATATTGCTCCTTCATGAGTTGCGCAGCAGAAAAGCTATCCGCGAACAGCGACTCGCCTCCCGAACATGAGTTCTCCAGACAGTGGAGGAGCTGGTATCCCGGTGGCTCATTCATATACATCAAATCCATGTGAAATCCAAGGAACTGATTTGTATATGCAACATTCGTCGCCTGTGGAACAGTACGCACGTCGAATGTTGATCCATAGAAGGTGTTCCGTAGTGGACCCATGCGTGTTGCAATAGCTTCAACCATGGATCGTGAGCCTGGAACATCCTTCACAAAAATAAGACCCAGACGCTGCAACTTTTGCATCGCGAAGGCAAATTTGGAATTATCGTCGATGTAGTCCGGGTAAGACACCCAATGTTGACTTCTGTCCATTTGGGCCTGTCCCCAAATGATCGGTGTGGAGTTCGCGCTCAAATGCTGACGATGAGTGTTGAAAATGGGGCTTTTTAGAAAGTCACGATCCCAGGTTGATTCATGCGCAGTTTGGGACTCCCCAATGTCGTTGGCCCACTTGATTGAAAGCTTGCTCCCATCCCATTTCACCCAGCTTGGAGTAATGTCCTTGGGAATGTCACTTGTGCGAAAGGAGCGCTGCTTCGAGTGTTCATCCTTGCACACTACACACTGGCACGAATCGCGCAGGTAAGTATATGGTAGTTTTAGCGTTGTGATTTTGTCCACACGCAAGTACAATTCCTCTTTTCCAGCCCAGATCGAATCTTTTTTGCCCACTTTTAGGACGCCATCCGCACGGGTTGTTTTTCTAACAACGTCAGGGGTGGAGTTTGGCACATCGCCCTTAGAACTGCTGGGTTCTTGTGGTATAGGTAATGAATGGTCGATTTCCAAGGCAACAGATCCCAATATATTGTGAGAGTCTGGCTCTACATGGCCGTTGAACCTACTAGACGCAGCTATCAAGTTACGGCGCGGGACAGAGTATGATAAGGCTCGTGGCAATTGCCAGAGGGTAGCTGAAGTTCGGAGACGATGCATGGAGGGCCTGTAAACCAGTCAAAAAGAAGAGATGATCAGTGAATTGGTAGAGAGAGTGGGTAAAACTTATCTGACGGAGCATGCGGGACAAATGGAGGGGGAGCTATACGTTACCTCGGCTTCAATGTGATTGCTATATGCCTAAGGCAGTATTCGAACACCTCAGGCAGGAATATCTGACAGGCATCGATGACATTCCCCGGGCCCAGCCCGGAACTTACGTAAATTACCTTCAAGTTGTTTTTGTTTTTTTTTTTATCATTCCAAAGTAGACTCAACAAATCAACATGGATGAAGTCTTCAGTCTTCATGCTTCACTTTTCTTGACCTAACTCAACCATCACGCAGACAAATTTCGTCTGTAAGATAAAACACTCTCAACTCATGTCGGCCGGGGGCGAGCATCTCAAAGATGAAGGCACCAAGCGACAGGTGGTACTGGCCGGCGGCATTGCAGGCCTGATCTCACGGTTCTGTATTGCGCCGCTAGACGTCGTTAAGATCAGGCTACAGTTGCAAATACATTCGTTATCAGACCCTGCGTCGCATCAGAGTGTCAATGGTCCTATCTATAAGGGGACATTTTCCACCATGCGCACGATTTTCAGGCAAGAGGGAATCACCGTACGCTGAAAAGATGACCTTGCTTCTCAATGTTAATGTCAACATTCTAATCCGAATTTCTTCCTACAGGGCCTTTGGAAAGGCAATATCCCTGCCGAAATGATGTATGTCTGCTACGGCGCCATCCAATTCACTGCGTATCGGGGAACAACCCAAGCCCTCGCCCAACTCGGCTCCTACCGACTCCCCCAACCCGTCGAATCCTTCCTCTCGGGTGCAATGGCAGGCGGATGTGCCACGGGGATAACATACCCGCTTGACCTCCTCCGCACGCGATTCGCCGCACAAGGCCCGGATCGCGTATATGGCTCACTACGCGCCTCAATCGTGGAAATCGCTCGACATGAGGGCGCACCGGGATTCTTCCGGGGATGTTCTGCCGCTGTGGCGCAAATTGTGCCATACATGGGACTGTTTTTCACAACATATGAGGCACTCAGACCAGTCATGACCTGGGATGCTCTGCCATTGGGTACCGGGGACGCTGCAGCCGGTGTGGTGGCCAGTGTTCTGGCTAAGACGGGTGTTTTCCCGCTAGACCTCGTGCGTAAGCGCTTACAGGTACAGGGCCCAACGAGGACCCGTTACGTTCATCGCAATATCCCGGAATACAAGGGAGTCCTCCAAAGCATTGCCATGATTGTCCGCACCCAGGGGGTGCGTGGTTTGTACCGTGGCTTGACAGTCAGTTTGCTCAAGGCGGCACCGGCAAGTGCGGTGACAATGTGGACCTATGAGCACGCATTGAAAGCCCTTCAAGAGCTCAATGTCGCAGCTGATAGTTGAAGGTAATCTTCAACATGTATCACCAGTAATAATTTTGCATGGATCATTGGCGTTATCACTAGAGGGTTCAAATTTTGGTTATACAAATAAGGCGAAAAGCCACATAATAGTCATCCCTATTTTATACATAGAAAAGTCCATTTCACAACTTAGGCCTTTTGTCCGCCTTTTTCCCCTGGCCATATTTGAAAATGAGAAGGGCACAATGTATCTATAGAAACAATCTATAAGGACTCCCCAAAAGACTCTAAAAAAGACTACTCAAGGACACATATCTATTATTGTCAATTTGATTTGACTTCTTTCTTTTCAGTCGTGTTTCGATTACATTTTCTGCCCTGAAAGGAACAATAAAACAAATACAGACTCAGTACTCAACCCCTTCCGGGCCACTGTCCTCAGCCACCTCCTCGTAATCTTTCTCGAGAGCTGCAAGATCCTCACGGGCTTCAGAGAATTCGCCTTCTTCCATCCCTTCACCAACATACCAGTGGACAAACGCACGCTTGGAGTACATAAGGTCGAAGTTGTGATCTAGGCGACTCCATGCCTCAGCAATAGCGGTGGTATTGGACAGCATACTAACTGATCGATCGACGCACGCAAGTTCATCATTCGGACGACGCACAGGCTTTTGGTAGTTAATGCCTAACTTGAATCCAGTAGGACACCACTCAACAAAACTAAAGGTACCCCTGGTCTTGAGGGCGTGCACAGCCTGAGTGCAATCATGGGGTACAACATCACCCTTGTAAAGCAAAGCCACGGCCATGTACTTGCCTTTTCGTGGATCGCAGTTCACCATCTGATTGTTGGGTTCGAAGCCTAGGACCTAGTCAGAACAAAAGTACACCTCATGGAATGGTATGCACGAACACTGGAAGGTGAGATCCTGAACCTTGAAACTCTCGTGAGAGCTGCGCTTGTTACCGATCACCGGAGCATACGAAATCAATGGGTAGTGGATACGCGGGTACGGGACAAGGTTGGTCTGGAACTCGGCCAAATCGACATTGAGTGCACCATCAAATCGCAAGCTGGACGTGATGGAGCTCACTACCTGAGCAATCAGGCGGTTGAGATGCTCATATCCAGGACGAGGAATGTCCAAGTTGCGCCGGCAGATATCGTACACAGCATCGTTGTCAACTAGGAAGGTACAGTCGGCATTCTCAATGGTGCTGTGGGTTGAGAGGACGGCATTGTACGGCTCTACCACCGCAGTCGATGTACGTGGAGAAGGGTAGATTGAGAATTCCAGCTTCGACTTGCGCCCATACAGGCTGGTTAGATGATCCAATAACAGTGAACCAAACCCAGACCCTGTACCACCACCAAAGGAGTGGAAAATCAAGAAGCCCTGCAATGAATGGCAGCTCTCTATGAGGACATTAGCTGAGAGCCATCAATGTGGGGCTCGAGTTAGCTGGTTCATACCGGCCACATAGCGAATACTGTCAATCACGGCCCCAGAGATCTCTTTCCCGACGGTGTAATGGCCTCGAGCATCTGCTGCATGTTAGCTCCTCGGTTACCAGCTTCCATATCCAAGTTGATCGGTTCGTACAGTTGTTGGCAGCATCTTCATTCCCACTGATCAACTGCTGGGGACGGAAAAGATCACGGTAGGTGCCAGTGCGAATCTCATCGATGGGCTAGCACAGTTCATTCAGCTGGTGGGTCTGATAACTTTGTAGTCTGTTCACATACAGATGGGTCAAGGTCAACGAAGATGGAACGGGGAACATATTTGCCGCCGGAGGTTTCAGTAAAGAAAGTCTCGTAAGATCCGCTTTTTGCGGCCTCGTCGGTAACATCGGGATCGATAAATCCATCAGGCTTCAGACCGTGTTCAAGTAGGTACCTGTGTTGCATCTTTATCAGCAGGGATGTCGGGGATACTAGACAACTAAGTGACATACAGTTCCCAGGCAGCATTACCAAGCTGTGTGCCGGCTTGGCCAATGTGTATATGACAAATCTGATAAGTTCGTATCAATATCAGTCTTTCCTTCCCTTGGTTTGGTTTTGGGTGAGTGGATGAGAGCCAAAGTTGTGGAGAGGGAAGGTAGGATATAAACAGGTTGACACCATAGACATGATAGCAGTCCAGCAGAATAGTAGAACAGCATACATACCTCGCCTCGCATGGTGAATTACACAGAAGACTGATGTTAGGATAAAAATGGGAATGAGGATGGGGGAAAGTTATGGGGAGAGATGTGTTTAAGAGAAGATGTTGGGGGGAAACACACACAAGACGCAAGCTGATATCTCTTTGACGTGGAAGTCACCCAGGTCAGACTTACTATGACAATGCCAGCTATTCAGCTGTCTCAATACATATGCAGATACATGCAGAGTTCTAGTATCATGATATGGACATTTAACATCCATATCATCAAGCCCTTACATTAGTCTCAAGAGCCCATACATTTGATTGGATACCATCATTAATGAAAGCTTTCTATATTATACAGACATGAAAGTGAAACTTCGGTATTCAGCCTAGCATGATCAAAGTCCCATACCCAAAATCGCGTGGCCGACAATGTCTTAAGTTAGTCCTACTTCATCAAGGCAACACGGTCAAGTTAATATACCGCAAGCGATGCATAACGGAAATGACGGCCTCAGACGCAAACTCCCACCCAATTATGGCTTGCATCATGGCTTCTATTTCCCAGTACACACTAGAATATAGCATGAGTCAACAATATCATAGAATAGTCGGATATCCCGGCATACCTGCCGGTAGCTTCCTCCAATATGAGGGTTGAGCTTGTTATCAACACACATGCTAGAGCAACAAGATGGTGCCCGTCTACAAATAAAATGTAAAAAGCGGCTGATTGAGCGCTCCCCACTGTTAACCTTTTGCCATGGTTCCACTATTTCAAGCGTGGCTATGAGACATGCATCTGAAACGCTGTCAGTGGCGGAACCGCGGTCTAGGTTGAATCTCAGAGTCCTAGACATGGAGAACGATTCCCGTTAAATGACACTGATGCGAGATTCACCTTTACTGCTAAGTTCATCCCATTTACTTGAATGCAGTCCCTTTGGAAATAATTTGTAGCAACCCGAGGATACGTCTGCTATGTAGCACCAGGATGTATATTGATATTGACCACTTGAATAAGAAGACTTAGCTCAATGTGTTCCATACATGACTACTCTTGTTTAAATACCTCTAGATGTAATTGATTATAAAAGGAAGAAAATCAACGTTTTAATTAGTCTTGTCACCAAGACTCGACGTGAGTGCTATACATAATCAATAAGCCACCAGAAAATAATGAACAAGAGCTTCAAGGCCGATATGGGGATATATGTATGGTAGAAAGAAAAGTTATGGTTCTATCGAGACAAGGTGTGTCACGAAGTCTAAAAAGGGGAACAAAAAAATATGACAAATAGTGTATGTTCAGTGAATGAGTATGAGATCGATAGATGAGATTGAAGATAATCACATCTCAAATCAATTGTGGTGCTCCTTAACACCAGAGACCGTGGCCGGCGGGGGCAGAGTAGGCTCATCAGAGCGGCCTTGCTCCATCAAGTCATCACGCTCGTGACTCACGCTGCTA